ATTACTGTTATGTTTAACAAAATTGAATAACTAACATTTATGAAAAGTAATTTAAAATTTCTAAATATTTCCTGCTAAATTTATATATATGATCTTAATAACACCATTTTATGACATGAATAGAATTAATATAGTATCATGTAATTGCAATTCTTTTATCAAATATATCTTATACCCGATAATGATACTTAAATGTATCTAATTAAATATATATATTCATCAATGTATATATAATAATTAATAGTTTTCTGCCCGATCCTGCCCGTTCCTGTAAATCGTCGAACCCGTAGTCACGGCATTTCGGTGATGTTTTCTGCACCAAATCGCATATGTCCAGATAGGATGTGACATATAGAAGTAAATGACTTCAAGAAATGCGATATTTCACAGTAATAAAGAAGTATTGGGTTCATAACTGGATCGTATGAGGTAGTATTGGGTGGTATGGGGTAGTATTGGGTCATAGTCACGGCAATTCGGTGAGGTTTTCGGCACCAAATCGCATATTTCCCGATAAAATATGGCAGATGGAAGTAAATAACGTCTACAAAGGTGATATTTCGCAGTAATAAAGAAGTATTTGGTTCATAACTGGGTCGTATGGGGTAGTATTGGGTGGTATTGGGTAGTATTGGGTAGTATTGGGTGGTATTGGGTAGTATTGGGTGGTATTGGGTAGTATTGGGTAATTAGACGCGCCGACGCGGCGGACTCGGAAGTTTAACTTCGTCATTAATATTACAACTTTTCTGTCGGAGCGAACAGCAGGTTTCTTGATAAAATATTATCAGTTTCTTTGAAATATTAATACAAATAAAACTGATTGACATTTAAGAAAGTTTTGTTTTTTTGCAAAAAGACAAAATCATATTAAGAACATTTGTTTATGATATAAAATTTCGTTTATTTGTTGAAATAATAAGTTTGTAAATTTATTAACACAAAAACAATCATGGCTGACACAGTTGAGTTGAAAATCTGCAGAGAGCTGTTGGATCCAAAATTTGACGGTTATAAGCTTTCTTTGGACAAACTGCCACTTTACAAGTCACAGTTAGACAATGGTGAGATTGATGTGATAATATCGTAATGTTTTATTTTGGTGACAACATCTCAATACGAAAAAAAATGTATATAATCAAGTTACGCTAGAGACTGGAACAGCGTAGAACCTCCACGTGTTCAAAAATGATGCTGATAGTTTTAATGTGCATGAAAACTGTATGACAACTGATTACTGAAAACATATACAAAAGAAAAAGACGAGAAGACAGTAATTTCACGTTATATCAATGAAATATACACTCAAGATTAAAAAAACACCTCCGGTACTAGAAACAGAGAAATAAACACCAACTTTTTCTAGTACAGTATAAAAACTGGATATGTTTTATCTAGACTGCTATATTTCACTGATATAACGTCAAACCCCTGAAATGACAGACGTCTTGCTGTCTTGACGTAAACTCATAAATTCAATTTGGGAGCATCTCCCTACCGAAGAGGATGCATTGAAACTCATCTTTTAAAATTCACTGATTTCAAATACTAAATGTGATATGACATCAGTCAGATCTACTTTCTTTTCCCCAGCAATTGAAGTGGTTAGTCTCGGTGATGACCAGTTTTCCTTTCATCATGCCAAAATCTATGGAGTCCATAATCACCTGTTCCTAGATTTGTGGTCGGAACATACATGTAGTGTGTATATCATCGACACAGACTGGGCTGTTGTCAGATCAACATCAATGGTAAGACGGAACGAAGTACTAACTTAAGTTTAAGTGAGTATGAAGTGGCATTCATGATCACCTGTTCCTTGATTTATGGTATGCATCATTAAAACATACTGGGCTGATGTTGGATAATCATCATTAGCATGTACTTAATGTACGTGGATTGTTATGCATGTGTTACACTACTAGCTGTACAAAGATAACATTCCAGACCAACCCATGTCAGCCCTGCATGTGTCAAATCCGCCAAGCATTCGTACCATATCTGCCTGACACACATGCCTTATGCATTTAACTTTGTGTACACACTGCATATCCATCAAATGATCTGTATTTATACTATTCTGTTATGTGTGTTTTATTGTTAAATTTTCTGTGTGTTTAATGTGTTAATTTAGCCTTTATCTTGGGCTGATATGGAGTAGGATGTGCTGGATGTGGAAATGGTCATGTGATAATCTTTTAGCAGTAGGATTGAAGGTTTCTGGAGTACAGAATATATCCTATATTTAATGTTTAACCTCTGACATATCATCAATTTAATAATTCATGAATTACAGTTTTGCTTACAACTTGTCACTAATTCATTATATTCAACAGTAAGACCCTTATAAATAAAAACCTCAATTTTATTTTGCTTTTCTACTATCTGATAAATTTGTCCTATTTTTTTATCATTTTTAAGGGGAAAAAAACAACTTGATTAGATTCTCAGCTGAGCAAATGAAAGCCATATGATGTCTTCTTGAAATCCGTCCGTCTGTCCGGCGTAAACTTTGTTTGTCCGGCAATCTCCTCCTCCAAATTTTTTACGCCTGATCTTTTTGAAACTTGATATACATTATAATCATGATAGTTGTGTCTCCCTTAAAAGAATTTTGATTCGACAATTATTCCAAAGTTATTGCCCTTTGTTCATTTCAGTATTTGATTTTTGTCCGGTAATCTTCTCCTACATTTTTCGACCGATCTCTTTGAAACTTAGTATACACTATAATCATGATATGAAGTTATGTTTCCCCCTAAAAAGAATTTTGATTCGACAATTTTTCTAAAAGTTATTGCCCTTTGTTCATTTCAGTATTTGATTTTTGTCCAGCAATCTCCTCCTACATTTTTCAACGGATCTCTTTGAAACTTGGTATACTTCATAATCATGATATGAAGTTGTGTCTCCCTTAAAAGAATTTTGATTCGACTATTTTTGCAAAATTTATTGCCTTTTGTTCATTTCAGTATTTCATTTTTTGTCTTTAAGATTTTCTCCTACAATTTTTATAGCATATCAGCTAACCACTCTTAGAATGATGCAGATCTTATTTCATTGTAAAAAAGTATAGCTATATGGCATTCGAAGGGCGTATTTTGTTCCGCCCCGCAGTACTTTTGTTCAATATCTGGATAGGTTTCTGTTGTGGTGTTTTTTTTGTCACTGCCAGGCTTGCATCACTGCAGCTGTTCCACATTTTAAATATGGTTGAATATTTGATATTACTATTGCTGATTCTGTAGTTGGTGTCCAAAACAATTTTGATTCCTTGTTTTTCAGGGAATGACTTTGGACACTGGAAGGAAAGTCTTACAGATTCCAGACGCCACTAACCAGAAACTGACACCCAGGCGACTGAACCTTGTTCTGCAGTTTATCTCCCCAGACATGGCAGTCATATCAGATGGTGCTGGCAAATTCCACTTGGTTGATACTGGAAACAGGGGAGACGATTCCAGCAACTGGAAGGTATTTAATAGTGATTCACTGTAGAATAAGATTTTTGGACACAGATAATTGAGTAATTTCCTGTAGGAAGATGATAACTTGTTACATATGTCACCCTGGTAAAATACTAGCCGCTTCCTAACGACTTTGCTAGAGAGAATTTCTCTTTAGCCCATTTGATAGAGCGTAACACAAGTAAGCCAGAGGTCCTGGGTTCGAATCATAATGGAGGCATTGAAAAAAATATTGACCTCTGTTACACAAAAAACTGAGGGTATATATGATGTTAGAGACTAGTGGATCAAAACATTGTTAGGAAATTTTCTGTAGATGGTGGCAAGAATGGTAAACGAATAGGGGCAGTTCACATGTATACCAAAATATTAGAGAAGGGCAGTTATCACTGGCTATGTGATCATTTTATTTTTTCAAATTATTTCATTGTTTGCAGATTATCTTTTCAAAAGATCTAATAGATAACGGTGAGCCGTTTGTACTGGCGGATGCCGTGACACACACTGTGGATGAGACACACTATGTGGAATGTCTGTGTGTCCACGTCGAGGAATCGACAGAGGAACAGAAGGACAGGTACAGATCTCCATACCTAACCATGCTGAAATGGATCACATTAACCTCAGGTAACATATGGGCAGAGCCGCATAATAAAAGGACTATTTTTAAATCTCAGAAGCAGAGATGCCTAATACAAGTTGCTGTAGGTGTACAACCACGTATTATCCTGGTCCTGGTGTTACAGTAATTATTTCTCAAGTTCAAGCATTTATCAACAGAAACAGCTGCAATTATTGCAATTGGGTATTTATAGTGTATTCTCCTAGTACGTACAATAGGTTGACTGTTATTTTGAGCTCACCTGCCTGAAGGGCAAGTGAGCTTATGCCATGATGCAGCGTCAGTCACCTGTCATCCGTCTTCTGTCTGTCCGTCAACTTTTCCTTTAAAATGCTTTTGTACTGGACTTTAACTAAATTTGGTCTTGAGCATCCTTGGGCCAAGGGGACTCAATTTTGTATAAGCGATGGGTGTGGCCTTCCTGGGGGCAGAGGAGCAGGGACCAATAGGGGAAATAGAGATTAAACCTTTTAAATCCTTCTTTTATCATAGTAATAAAGGGATTTCATCTTAATTTAGTCTGGAGCATCCTTGGGCAAAGGGGACTCAATTTCGTATGAACGTAGGGTGTGGCCTTCCTTGGGGCAGAGGGGTGGGACCATAGTGATGGAGGAATTTTATCCCAATTTGGTCTGGAGCATCCTTGGGCCAAGGGGACTCAATTTTGTATAATCAGTGGGTTTGGACCGGCTAGTGGCGGAGGGGCAGGCCCAATAGGGGAAATAGAGGTCAAACCTTTAAAATCTTTCTTCTACAGTAGGGATTAAGGGATTTTATCCTAATTTAGTCTGTAGCATGATTGGGTCAAGATGACACAATTTTGTATAAATGGTGGGTGTGGCCCCTGGTCGTGACAAAGGCCAGGTCTCTAGAGGTCGTGACAAAGGCCGGTTCTCCAGGTCTCTAGGGTTCGTGACAAAGGCCAGATCTCTAGGGGTCGTGACAAAGGCCGGTTCTCCAGTTCTCTCGAGGTTGTTTTTGTATACTATTACTCAACAAATTTAGTGCGAAATGTGCCACAATTGTTTGCTTCATGTTTATATTACCTCTTACTTTATCCCATTTAACTAGAAATCATTCTAGTCGAGGGGTTCTAGCCATGACCACCCCCTGAACGTTTTTAAGTCTGACCGACAGCTTTGGATAACTTTTGAAGTTACTTGCTGTATGTATGAAAAACTGCAGTCAAGTTCTCTTGTGTTTTGTTTGCAATGGGACAGGGAATCCTAAAAAGTAAATATAGAATGCCTTATAATTAAACCTTGCTTGTAACAAGCATTTTCGTTGGCTTAAAAATTAATGCTATCGGCCCATAACATAAAAAAATGACGTCGCCGTTTGTGACGTTGCTTTTGATTGTCTGATACAGCGGCGTAATAATTTCTAAGAGAAAAGAGTCCATCAATAAAAGTGGAGTTTCACAGGGATTGTGTATAGTAGATTAAATTATAAGGATTGACTTGAATATATTTTTTACGTAATGGAGCTATAACACAAAAAAGCGGAGTGTTATCTCATCATAAACTGCTTCGTGGATGTTTATAATATTTCAAATAATTGTGTCGGTCATCAAAATTGTTCGGTATCATTGGTATAGGTTTTACAATTTTTGAATTTAATTTAGACCTTTGTCTCCTATCTAGTTGACCGTAGATCCTGGAGCGTAGAGAGGACACGCCAGCTGATTGGACGAAAACCATACGACTATGCTGCGTTTGACCACACAGGGTCATCTGTTATCATATCGGCTGCAGCAGAGTTCAAGTTTGTATATGACTCCTCAAAACCAATCCAGGAGGAAGCTGCACAAGAGCCTGGGAATGGGCAAAATGGTATGTATATAAATATGTGTGTGATTTTCTTACCAGTTGGATGTCAATAATCCCTATTACATAAAGGGGCTTTTTTCAGTTATGTAGCATGGTCATGAGTAATTATGTGGAACACTGTGGGTAAGATGAATGGAATTAAAACCGTGTTCTCTTCAAGGCAAGACTAGTGTTGATTTTTATATTGTCCATTGAACAGCTGTCATTATCTTGTATTGTAATTTTACCAAGTTGGTAATATAATGATGCTTTTCATTGGTCATAACTATACGTTACTTCATGTGCTATTGGACGATTAAACATGAACATGACATGACATTGTGTAAGTTTAAGCAAGTGAGCCCTGTTTGACCTGTCTTGGACATATTGGCTTGTTTTGCATGAGGGTACACGTGCGCATGTGCATTGTTTAAAATTTCCACTTAAATACACATTAAACTGGTACAGCATGTCCATTGTCTCAACAACAAGAAATTGACAAGACGTTTACTTGTTGGTTAAATTAATATGATGTACTATCAGCTGACAAATATTGGCATGGGTAAAAGAACAGGCTAATAACAGTATTGGATAATCTAGGTTACATTGTACTGGTTGATCTTTCTTGTCTCCTTCAGTGTTTAGAAAGCACAATCAGTTTTATTTTTCCTGTGATAGAATAGATATAATCAACATATGTTTGTATATCATAGCGTAAAAGTGGCCTGTGTTTATTTTCCCCATCATTTTTGTCACTTTGCCTCCAAATTACATGCACAGATGTTGGTTATTTGATTATCGACAGTAAAAAAAGAATAACATCTAATCACCAATGATCATTTGAGGATCCAAAAGAGCATACCTGGCATGTCCCCACCCCTAATAACTGAAGATAAAAGTCAGCTGAAAATACTTGTTATTTGTGTGGTGAATGTTCCCCCTTTATTGACACTGCTCTCCTTAAAAAGTCAAGGGGGTGCAAAATGAGAAACTTTATTTTCAGATTTTTGTCTTCGCTAAAAATCTTCTTCTAACTCATTACACAACATTGAATAGCATCATGACNCCCCAAACACCTACCCCCACCTTTTGAAAAACAAACATTAATTCCAAATCATACCCAAATGGTCACTTTATATAGGAATGCAGTAATCTCTGTAACCCATCAAAGGCCAAGGTGGTGCACTTTCGTGTCAAGGGTCATTTGGCCCTATCAATCTTTTTCTTTAGCAATTACTTTGTTAACTGCAGATGTGTTTTCACCAGGTAAACCTGCCCCAGAATACACCTGGCACCAGGACTCTGACGAGATTTGTGCCATGTTCACTGTCCCCGAGGGAGTAAAGAAGGAGGACATCTATCTGACACTTAAATCCGAATACATTGACTTTGGTATCAAGAATGTCAAGGCCCTTCTGAAAGGTCAGCTTCATCGCCGAATTGACGTTGATGCGAGCACTTGGACCATCATTGGACAGAGGTTGGTGTTTCACATCTAGTATGTCTTGAGAGAACATAGTGTTTTATAGTATTTCATACAGTGTATTCTCGTGGAAATAAACCTAGCTTAACTCATTCACCCCTGAAATTTCATAATGAACTATTCCAACCTTTGAATTGGAAGAGTTCAAATGTATCTTCAGGGGTGAATGAGTTAAGGATCCCTCTGCCAAAAAACTCTAAATACTTGGAAACTTTTGTTTTTGGCATAACTATGGCTTCGATAAATTATTTCTGAGGAGAACTTCCCACCTTTCTTTAAAACAAGAATTAGTATTTAATACTAATCAGATATACACTCGCCTGAATTATATCCATATTTTGAGTTTAGATTACTTGTTCGAAGTGCAATCATAGTCACTGAACTGAATAAATGTTGATACAGACTTTCTTCAATACCAAAAAAAGGAAGCTACTCATCACACTTAGAAGTTGCATTGGGTCAATTTTTTACAGCATTTTACTAAAATTGTAAGTTTGGACATGTGGTTGGTTGCATGGCCATTTTTACTACAAACTGTACATACTGCATGTTATCCATTAAATGTTTGGACCATGTCCCTTGCAGAACAGTCAATATAGAACTTTCCTTTGGAAATCATAGAGCAGACAAAATGTTCATGAATATGATATTTATAGTAACAGGTGGGCTGAATATGTGTGTTGGACATTTGTTTTACAGTGATTGCGTCATATCATGATATTTCTCACAAAGCTATATGAACTGAGGTATGGTTTATGAAATTTCCTTTTAACTCATTGACCCCTGAAATTTCATAATGAACTATTCCAACCTTTGAATCGGAAGAGATCAAATGTGTCTTCAGGGGGTGAATGAGTTAATATTTTCAAAGATTTTTTTAATATTTTGTGAATAACCTATATTAAACCCAGACAAGGCCAACATGACGCGGCCTGTATAAACCAGAAATTGTATGTACCGTTATTCATCAGCTTAGAAATTGAGAATTGTTTGCATCTTGATCTGGTATTTTCTTTCAGAATAGAGTTGACACTTGGTAAGCCACAGTTGGAGGCGTGGCCAGTCATTGTTCAGGGAGATGAGAGAGGAGAGATGACCGTTGATGAAGGACTCGTCGCACAGATACACGAAAGGCTTGCCCACCTCACATCGGACGATATGGTAATGGGATCATTAAGTCCAAAACTGAACAAATTAGGGATTTAAACATGCAAACACTATTCACCCAATTTGGCTTGGAACAAATTTATTAAGTTATATCACTGTTACAGTATTGATTGGTTAAAATCCAAGATGCCAGTGAAACTCAATTTGCGACAGAATCACAAAATACTGCCGAAATTTCAAAATATAGTAGGGCTATCTCCATACTAATTCATATTAGCCAAAACCCTCCTAAAGAAACAATAATTTTAAGATATTTCATATCTACAGATACAATGCCATTGATAGGCCTGTTTATATTATGTAAGTTTACAATATATTTGAACTTGTTGTAGAACCCTTCCCCTGAGTTGATGGAAGGACAGCCATACAATGCTCAACAGCTGGAGGATTGTGACGCATTCCCTGATGATAGCTCTCTTCTCCACCGAATCGACGGCAACACTCATCGAACAGTCTCACAGGTAAACAACAGCATATCTCACTGTCTCACAGGTAAATACCAGCACATCTAACAGAGTCACAGGTAAAGAACACCACTGGCACTGTCTCATAGGTAAAGAACACCACATCTCACAATCTCATAGGTAAATAACAGCACATCTCAGTCTCATAGGTAAATAACAGCACATCTCACAGTCTCACAGGTAAATACCAGCACATCTCAGTCTCATAGGTAAATAACAGCACATCTCACAGTCTCATAGGTAAATAACAGCACATCTCAGTCTCATAGGTAAGTAACAGCACATCTCAGTCTCATAGGGAAATAACAGCACATCTCAGTCTCATAGGTAAATAACATCACATCTCACAGTCTCACAGGTAAATACCAGCAAATCTCAGTCTCATAGGTAAATAACAGCACATCTAAGTCTCATAGGTAAATAACAGCACATCTCAGTCTCACAGGTAAGTAACAGCACATCTCAGTCTCACAGGCAAATAACAGCACATCTCAGTCTCATAGGTAAGTAACAGCACATCTCAGTCTCACAGGGAAGTAACAGCACATCTCAGTCTCACAGGTAAATAACAGCACATCTCCGTCTCATAGTTAAATAACAGCACATCTCAGTCTCATAGGTAAGTAACAGCACATCTCAGTCTCACAGGTAAGTAGCAGCACATCTCAGTCTCACAGGTAAATAACAGCACATCTCCGTCTCATAGTTAAATAACAGCACATCTCAGTCTCATAGGTAAGTAACAGCACATCTCAGTCTCATCGGTAAATAACAGCACATCTCAGTCTCCTAGGCAAATAACAGCACATCTCAGTCTCATAGGTAAGTAACAGCACATCTCAGTCTCATAGGGAAATAACAGCACATCTCACAGTCTCACAGGTAAATGCCAGCACATCTCAGTCTCATAGGTAAATAACAGCACATCTCACAGTATTTCAGGTAAATAACAGCACATATCACTGTCTTACAGGTAAATAACACCACATCACACAGTCTTGCAGGTAACTAACACCACATCTCAGTTATACAGGTAAATAACAGCACATCTCACAGTCTTACAGGTAAATAAAAGCACATCTCACAGTCTTACAGGTAACTAACAGCACATCTCACAGTCTTACAGGTAAATAACAGCACATCTCAGTCTCACAGATAAATATCATCACATCTCAGTCTCACAGGTAACTAACACCACATCTCAGTCTCACAGGTAACTAACACCACATCTCACAGTCTCACAGGTAAATAACAACACATCTCACAGTCTTACAGGTAAATAACAGTACATCTCACAGTATTTCAGGTAAATAACAGCACATCTCATTCTCACAGGTAAATAACAGCACATCTCACAGTGTTACAGGTTAATAACACCACATCTCACTGTCTCAAAGGTAAATAACAGCACATCTCACTGTCTCACAGGTAACTTACACCACATCTCACAGTCTCACAGGTAACTAACACCACATCTCACAGTCTTACAGGTAAATACCAACATATCTCACAGTCTTACAGGTAACTAACACAACATCTCAGTCTCACAGGTAAATAACAGCACACCTTGCAGTCTTACAGGTAACTAACACCACATCTCACAGTCTCACAGGTAAATAACAGCACATCTCACTGTCTCACAGGTAACTAATACCACATCACACTGTATCACAGGTAAATAACAGCACATCTCACTATCTCACAGGTAAATAACACCACATCTCACAGTCTTACAGGTAAATAACACCACGTCTCACAGTCTCACAGCTAAACAACCACACATTTAACAGTCTTTTATGATTTTCCATTCCAGACCATTACAGAAATGAGAATCGGTCAGTCATTACAAAGATCTGGAATCGATTATTTTATTCAGTAATGTTCAGATCACTATACAAATATTTTCAATTCCATGTAGGATCTTTGATGAAAATTTCAGTCAAACCAATACAAGGACCTGGAATCATAAATGTTGTATAGTAATATTCACTATTTACTACTGTTTGCAGGGAGACTTTTGCCCAGTCAAATTTTTTGCCTTATGCCAATGAAATTCGATTTTGCACAATGTTAAATTTGTCCTTCACTTTTGATTCCAGTATGTTAATTCTATCCTTTACTGTTCACTGTAATGATACATTTGTCCTCAGTAATATTCACGATAAATTTGCCCTCATTGCCGAGGGCAAAAAAGGCGAAAAATATTAAACTTCTGCAAAAATTTCTCTGTATACAGTATAGTAATATTTGCAGTTTCATTGTAGCCATAAAAATATGAAATAGAGAATAAATGTCATATCTGATGACGTTTGATTTTTTAGACCAATCTGGGAAGTCATCAGTGGTTGTTCAATGCCAGAGTATGTCGAGACCAGCCGCCGGCTCTTTGTCTCAGACACGATGTCGATGGATTATTATGGCAACCGGAAAATGTTGTAAAAGAACAGATGACACCTTGGAAGCACATATCAACGTTTAATGCGTTTGGTTATGTTCAAGCCTCAAAACAACAGCGGAAATATACCACGTGTCCCCCTGGGAGTTTGTATGTGGCAGTGTGCGACTGCGTGAGGCATGTTTACGTATACCGACAGCCAACGCCAATTACATCCCCAGTCAGGAATAGAAAGACAGGGCAAAAGGTCAATGCTGTTGCTAAGCAACAACTGGTATCCCTGGAAAGTGTGGACAATATCTTGGGAATACAGGCAACAGATGAGAAACTCTTCATGATTACAAGAAACATGGTTTATGTTGCGAATGTGAATATGTCCCCTTGAAAAATGTGTCTGGTCAGGTGTAGATATTTATTACAAACTTTCATATTTGTGGACATAGTACAGTGTAACCAACTCATGGAAGATTATTCTCTATGCACATCTGCCCTGGGGTTATGTCAACTCTAGGTACATAAACAGAATTAGTGTTGTATTGAGGAAGTTCATAGTTGGATGATTGAAAATGCCTTGCTATGCCAGGCCTGAGCTGTCTTGGTAAATGACAAGGGAGGTAACTTCATCTTTGCATGGAGTGTGTCAATAAACAGTAGCCGAAGACATATATATATCAAACCTGCTAAGTTCACATCAATGAAATGATGGTCATAGGTGACCGAAATGTAGGTCAAGTCTGCTTATTGCAGGTCATATCAGTAGGTAAACTTTTCAAAGTTATCAAAATTAATACAATAGTAATATCACTCCTATTTTCCTTTAATTTACAAGTACTAGAATGTCTTGTTTTTAGGATTACTTTAATCATTTAAGATTCAAAAGATGATTTTGAAATATTTTCAATGATGAGCATCAGCTAAGCCTTGTCAATGCAGGAGATTCCAAAATACTTTTATAACAAAATCTGTGCATGTCACGGAGGTCATCTGCCGGTTGACCTGCGGAAAGGCAGATGACTTTGCGGGTATGCAGTATTTAAGAAAGGGTCAAATATATAAATACAGTGTACAAACAAAACATACAGAATATGTGTTACAAGTTATTTATTGATTTTCCGCATTTAACTATTCACTCAATTAATTGGCTAGTTAATGATGTGGAAACATTCTCAGTCATTTCAACATCCAACAAGGAGCAGAATGGGTAAACATATTACCTGTCCCCCTGACTGCCTGTAGCATTAGAGTGCTATTTGGCAAAATGTCTCTATTCTTCCGACCGCTGACTTTACTGTTTTTAGTGATTTATAGTCAAGACCCTGGTCATTTACACTCTTTGCTTGTCAAAGGAAAAGGACTTTTTTTATCGAAAGCTTGCAAAATAAGGTGTTAATTACTGGTTGTGTTCAAAACAAACTTAGCAATTATTCTCAGTCATTGATTTCGGATATCTCACAGTGTAATTGGGACATTAAATGAAAATAATTGATTGAACTCAAATTTCATAATAAGATGACATCACAATATCATTATGTGATGATGTCATTACAGCTTACAAATTTACAGATTAAATAGACAACATTCATTTTCAACAGATAAAAGGCAAAATGGGAGAGAAAACATACTCTTTGATATGTGTGCATGTGAGCTTGTCTATCTCACAAAAATAAGTGATTTTGTAAATCTTTTATATGTGTAATGTATTTAAAGCATTAAGTTGCTTTTAAAAGGCAATCGGGGAAAATATGAGTGGGCACTCGTATTACTGAAGATTGCCATCAGAAAGCAAATCAATACTTACCGGGTATATGTCAATGTTGCTATTAAATTATAGGGAAAATAGTAATCTAGCTATATATAGGGAAGGCATAAATAAAATCTAATACAATTTTTTATGTGTTTGTTTCTTTTAATAAAAAAATTGATTCAGTGCTAACATGGTATCCTGTGTCTACATTGTGAAACCATAATGCCAACAGTAGCATGTTATTCAACTATATAAATACATTGGCATTGATGTGACAAATAATCTAGTAATTCTATATATAGTTAGCAGTTTTTGCTAAAGTTGCACTGAAGTTTGACTGTAGTTATCACCTCATAAACATATAATAAAAACTTTATTTATTTTTACATCAATTATGAAACAAGTTATTTTTCAACTTGTATGAATCTCTCTTGTTGGCCCAGATGCTACTGCGCAGAGGGTCTGAATGTGGGAGGAATCCACAGTACCCAGAGAAAACCAACGTCTTTGGGCAGGTGACCCCATACCTATTCACATCTGATCCGGGAATCAAACCCCGGCTGCCTTTGTGAAAGGTGAGTGCGCTATCCAATGCACCACCTGAACACCTCATAAACTACTCCTTTCACATAAGAGGCCGTTGGTGGGCTAGTTTTTATCGCATATGATTATATCGACTCGTTGCATGGCGCTTGTCAAAAATAACTCACTGTGTTAAACCTCTAACACTGTTGGAGTACTCATAAACTTGGCAGATAAAAGAGAAAGCCAATCCTTAAATACAGATACCAAACAACATTGGCAAACACAGTACTATAAATGCCATTGAAGATTGTTTACATTTTACAGTTCTATAAATGTTATAATTATGTCACAATGAAAATTTGACTATATTTTTAAAAGTTTATTTCGTGTAAAAACTATATTATTTATAAGACCTTGACAATCACTAGTATTAATCTGTTATATTTTAACAAAGTATTAGATGAATTTGATTCAATGAAATATATCACAGAATGATTATTCCTCAAAAAAAGTACTTTCGTTGATGAGGTCAAAAAATTATGTACCAATGTAGATATATATTTGCATAACTCCTCCCACATGTTTATGTAAAATGTCACGGAAATTCACGGATGTTGGCTATTTGCCATAACGCTTCTCCATTTGTATTTTTGATGATATGTAGCTTAATTTTGGCAAACACCTAGCTCAACTTAGGAAATCATAAATCCATCAGACAGGAGAGAGTGTTATGAATTGCAGGTAAACAAATAGTTCTGACCATGTTTTAATATGAGAGAAAAAGGAACGCTTAGTATGTGTTGATAGTTTAAAAATTAATTCTGATTCAGTTTATAAGCAGACAATGGTACAAACTCTAAATCATATGTCCGCTATATTTTCCAGTTTTGATTAATTTCTCGTAACACAACCATGCTTGTTCCGGAATGTGCTGTTCTATCTGAAAACCTACATCTGGGTAGATCTTGACCCTGTAGAAAGACCCCACCAACACAGTGACCATGTCATGTAGCGAGCCTACATGGTCATTAGGGTACTCCAACATTGGAATGGACGGTGACGACACAGTAACGTCCAGACTGGTTGCGTCCCCTGGCCACTGTTTCATAAAAGTTGCATAAACACGTCGCTCCATGTGAGGCATCTGTATAAGTATGTAGCTATGTAAAGTCTTGAGAAGGTTCAGCTTCTGGAGAACTTTGTAGGAAAACGAGACATTTTTTCCTGTGTTCGTTGCCTCGGTTTCCAGTATGATTTTCTCCCTTGGGACGCCCATTTTTAAGGCTACGTCACAGAATACCTCAGCTTCTGTTTTATCCCACTTACCTGTAAAGGAAAACATCGAAAAATCTGATAAAATTATGCTTCAAAACATCATCTGATAAAATTGCGCTTCAAAACATCCCTCATTTTTGAATAACATTTTATCTAATTAAATGTCTAGTAATCCAGGTTACCAGTTAAAATATGATTGGGTTATACCTTTTACTCGGGTAAATGCTTTTAAGCAGTATAAAAGTGACCATTTGATAGTGAATATATGTTCTATGTATAGTGAACTGGTGCTATGTGGAACCTCTCTATTCTGAATTTCTGAATTTATTTCCAGTGGTGTTCGGTTAAGACAGGTTTCACTATATATCTACCAGCTAGGTTACTGGCTCATTATCATTATTAATCAAAGATTACAAACATTTTTGTTTTCCAATTCTCTTTTATTGTCTATTATTCATTTCAAAACAATATTTGATTTAAATGACCCTAGCTAGCTAGTTGATAACTATGACCTTCATCTTTACTCCTATATGTTGTTGAACAATTACATTTAATTTTAGTACAATTTCATTAATTACTATAGGATAGATTTGATTCTTAAAAGAATTTACTGTATGCTTGCATGATTCATGGAGGTAAACACAAACACTAAAGAAAATACAGATTACTCAATTCTTAATGTCATAATTGTGGTTTGTGTAAGAGTTGTTTCCCCTGACAACAAGAGTTGTCTCCACTAACAGTTTACATTGGCATCAATACACACATTCTTGTGTATTTTTCTAAAGCATCATCAATTAATTCAATAAAGTCGAAATTATCATTAACAAAATTAATATTTTAGCATACCTATTTGTGTGGAACACTTTTGGAAAAGAAATAAATAAAAAATGGGTCTTGTGTTCTAAATACTTTTACATTCGCGTATCCCGGTTGAAACTGTACGTGTGGCGCAGAAACATTCCACAATAAACGAACGCACTTGGACCGTTCTATAAGCAGAGCTAAATGTGCACAGTTTCGGAGAATAAAAACAGTTTTTCAAGAATATTATGACCTTCTTTCATCCGTCCACTGAATAACATAACGTATCTTAAAAACTACATGTGACTTGACATTGTTTTAGAAAGAAATAACGCAAACTGGCAATAGTCAGCATTTTAGTTTCGGTCAGGTACGTCTGGACCCCTCAATCTACATGTGCCAAATTTTCCTCAGGTCACCCTCGGTCCATATCTGTGCCTGTCGTTTTCTTTACAGGTTCAACTGGTTCAACTGGTTCAACCATTTCAACTGGATACACAAATGTACCCTTTGTCTTACAGTCTCCTTCAACCAGACTCTTGAATTACAAATGATCAAGCGTCTGGTTGAACGAGACTACAGTACTTGAAGCAAAGAAACATAATATCAAAAAATGTTAACACAGACTACACATTACGGTCTGGTAAATCCCTGCCAATTTGGGGAAAGAACAGACCTGCTGTATCCCACTGTATCTCACTGTGTCCCACTGTACCTCACTGTATCTCACTGTATCCCACTGTATCTCACTGGATCCCACTGTACCTCACTGTATCCCACTGTATCCCACTGTATCTCACTGTGTCCCACTGGATCCCACTGTACCTCACTGTATCTCACTGTATCCCACTGGATCCCACTGTACCTCACTGTATCTCACTGTATCTCACTGTGTCCCACTGTATCCCACTGTATCCCACTGAATGTTCCTAAAGGAGACAAGTAATGTCTTCAGTGTCTTCTGCTTACAGCACAAAACCTGATCTGCTACCCACTATTGTGCCACTTGCATACTTCTGTCTTTCTCTATTTATTTGTTTGAGTGGTTTTACATCCGCTTTAAGTAGTTCATTTATCCATTAGATGATGTCTTTCTCCCCAGGCACCAAATTTGTATATGACGCTTAATGTTGTGAACATGTCGGAAACAAACACAAACAACCAACCTGGAGAGTATCTTGTAGCATACTTTGTAGAAGCCATTAGGTCATACAGACAAGATTCTGTCACTTATCAAATCTGAACAATTACCTATTGTGAGTACTCCCTTGTCGCCCGAGAACATCAGCCAGTCTGCATAGCCGCCCAGAAATAATTTGGCAGCATACTCGGCAGTCCTGGTATCGTGGTTACCCAGCACTAGGATGATGTCACTCTGAAATGAAAAGGCATCTGGGAAGTCAAAAAAACAATCAATGAAGTTCTCCTTTCCCACCTTTAACTAAAATGTCTCCTGTTTTACCTATTCAATTTTAGCTCACCTGGCCCGAAGGGTAAGCTTGTGCCGTGTCGCTGCGTCTGTTGTCCGTCCGGCGTCAATATTTTACTTTAAACAACTCCTACTTAGTAACCACAAGACCTAGGGTGAGAATATTTGGCCAGAAGCAAACTGGGATGAAGGGCTACCAAGTTTGTTCTAATAAATGACATTCACCCATATTCATGGTCACATGGGTCAAAAATGCTCAACACTTTAAACAAATTCTTCTGAATAACCAAAAGGACCAGGATGTTGATATTTGATCAGGAGCATGCTGGGATGAAGGGCTACCAGGTTTGTTCAAATGAATGACCTTGACTTATATTCAAGGTCACAGAGGTCAAATATGCATAAAAATACTTTTAAACAACTTCTTCAGAATAACCACGAGGCTCAGGATGTTGATATTTGATCATTAGCATGCTTAGATGAAGGGCTACCAACTTTGTTAAAGTGAAAGACCTTGACATTGTTTAAAATATTTTAACAACTTCTGAATATTGGTCAGTAGCATGTTTGGATGAAGGGCTATCAAGCTTTTTCATTTTGAATGACCTTGACCCACTTCCAATGTCGCATTTAGTTAAATATGTATAAACATTTATATGACCTTATCTAAATAAACAAAAGCTCTGGAGTGGTGATATTTTGCAAGTTGCATGCTGAGATGAAGGGCTATAAAGTGTGTTCAACGTAATGACCTTGTGAGACTTTCAAGGTCACAAGGGTCAAATGTTTTAAAATGCTGATATTTTGCCTGTAGCTTTATTTTAGCTCACCTGGCCCGAGGACCAAGTGAGCTTATGGCATGGTGCGGCATCCGTCGTCCGTCCGGCGTCAACTTTTTACTTTAAACAACTTCTTCTCAATAACCAAGAGGCCCATGCTGATGATATTTGGCCAGTAGCATGCTGGGATAAAGGGCTACCAAATTTGTTCAAATGAATGACCTTGACTCACTTTCAAGGTCACAGGGGTCAAATGTCTTAAAATCTTCAAAGAACTTCTTCTCAATAACCAAAAGGCCTAGGGTACTGATATTGGGCCTGTAGCATGCTGGGATAAAGGGCTACCAAGTTTGCTCAAATGAATGACCTTGACCCACTTCCAAGGTCACAGGGGTCAAATATCTTAAAATCTTCAAACAACTTCTTCTCAATAACCAAAGGCCCAGGGTACTGATATTGGGCCTGTAGCCTGCTGGAATGAAAGGCTACCAAGTTTATTCAAATGAACTATGTTGACGCACTTCCAAGGTCACAGGGGTCAAATGTTGTAAAATCTTCAAACGACTTCTCAATAATCAAAAGGCCTAGGGTACTGATATTGGGCCTCTAACATGCTGGGATGAGGGCTACCAATTTTGTTCGATTGAATGACCTTGACCCACTCTCAAGGTCACAGGGGTCAAATGTCTTAAAATCTTCAAACAACTTTTGCTCAATAACCAAAAGGCCAAGAGTACTGATATTTGGCCTGAAGCATGCTGGGATGAAGGGCTACCAAGTTTGTTAGAATGAATGACCTTGACCAACTTTCAAGGTCAAAGGGATCAAATGTCGTAAAATCTTCAAACAACTTCTTCTCAATAACCAAAAGGCCAAGGGTACTGAAATTGGGCCTGTAGCATGCTGGGATGAAGGGCTACCAAGTTTGTTCAAATGAATGAACTTTTCCCACTTTCAACCTAATGTTCTTGTGCAATATTCAAGGTCATAGGCATCATATGTTTAAATCTTTTAATAGGTTCTTATGAATCAAACACTGATATTCTGCCTGTAGCTGTTATTTAGTCCACTATTAAGATCTCGAGTGTGAGATTAATACCAGGTGAGTGATGCAGGCCCATTTGGCCTCTTGTTAAGGTTACAAGTGTGAGATTATTACCAGGTGAGTGATGTAGGTCCTGGGCCTCTTGTTAATTTTATGCAATTAACCTCTACATTGAGGGTATGCCAGTAAAAATCTCAACCATTAATGGGTAATATTCTTAAATGTCTGAACATTAGTTTGAAGCAAGCCACAGGGTAGGCAAGCAAGAATGTAACCCTTCATTGAGAGTATGCCAGTATTAAGCTCAACCCTTAGGGTGAGATTCTAAAATGTCTGAACATTGGTTTGAAGCAAGCCACAGGGTAGGCAAGCAAGAATGTTACCCTTCAAGCCAAGATTTATTACATCATACAGTTTGGTAGGAGAATGTTCTATTTGATAATACATACAACAGTGTCAAAATAAACCATGTTCCACTGTATACAGACACTTAGGTCTTCAAGGCTTAATAGACTCAAATTTCTCCCAAAGCCACTATAGGTTTCCTCACTCCCCAGTCGTAGGATGAGCCTGCTAGGAGTTGGTAATACACTGGACGTTAGTGGTCAATCTTCTAATTGTAACGTTGAGTAACAATGCTTTGCGAAGTCATCTTCCATTGTGACATATTATAGTTCTTGATAATTGTTTCCCCGATTGGAAAAGGAATTATGTATTCCCAAGAGAATATGATTTTCCAAAAAAATGTATGAACGTTGTGGGAGAAAAAGGGTCCCCAAACTGTTTATCTAACTCTCATTAATTAATTTTCAAATTGTAAAAGACACTTGGTAAATCGCATGTTTTCATACAATTTACTAACGGACTCACTAAACACCACTTGTTGCCGGGTACATCTATATATAAAGACACCAGTGTCCACACTAACCAGGTAACTCTATACACAGACATCAGTGTCCACACTAACCGTGTTACACAGTACACAGACATCAGTGTCAACACTTACCAAGTTAAACTATGCAGAGACATCAGTGTTCTCACTAACCAGGTTATGCTGTACACATACACCAGTGTCCATGCTAACCAAGTTACACTGTAAACAGACATGAATGCCCACACTAACCAAGTTACACTGCATAAAGACACCATTGTCCACACTAATCAGGTTGCACAGTACACAGACACTAGTTTCCATACTAACCAGGTTCCACTGTACACAGACATCAGTGTCAACAATAACCTGGTTACACTACACAGACATCAGTGTCCGCAAAAACCATGTTACACTGTACAGACATCAGTGCCAACACTAACCAGGTTACACAATGCACAGACACCACTAACCAGGTTACACTGTACAGGCAACATTGTCTAAACTAACCACGTTACACTGTACAGAGACATCAGTGTCCACACTAACCTGGTTACACTGTACACAGATACCACTAACCAGGTTACACTGTACAGACATCAGTGTCTACACTAACCAAGTTACACTGTACAGACACGAGTGTCAACACTAACCAAGTTACACAGTGCACAGACACCAGTGTCAACACTAACTAGGTTATTCAATATACAGACATCAGTGTCCACAACTAACCAGGTTACAATGTACACAGACACCACTAACCAGGTTACACTGTACATGCAGCATTGTCAACACTAACCAGGTTACACTGTACAGAGACATCAGTGTCCACACTAACCTGGTTACACTGTACACATACACCACTAACCAGGTACACTGTACAGAAATCAGTGTCTTCACTTACTAGGTTGCACTGTACATATTTACACTAATTGTTGCACTGTACACAGAAAACAGTGTCCACACTTACCATGTTACACTGTACACTGTACACAGACATCAGTGTCCACAATAAACAGGCTACACTGTACACAGACATCAGTGTTCTCACTAACCAGATTCTACTGTGTACAACCAGCAGTGTCCACACTCACCAGGTTACACTGAATACGGAAACCACTCAACACTAACCAGGTTACACAGTATACACACACCAGTGTCAACTCTAACCAGGTTACATTGTACAGACAACAGTGTCTACACTAACTAGGTTAAACTGTACAAAGACAACAGTGTCCATACTAACTAGGTTGCACTGTACAGACACTAGTGTTAACACTAACCAGGTTACTCTATACACAGACATCAGTGTCAACCACTAACCAGGTTACACTGTACAGGCAGCATTGTCTAAACTAACCAGGTTACACTGTACAGAGACATCAGTGTCTACACTAACTAGGTTACACTGTTCCATCATCAGTGTCTACATTAACCAGTTTACAATGTACAGAGACATCAGTGTTCTTATTAACCATGTTACACAGTACACAGACATCAGTGTCCATACTAACCAGGTTACACAGTACAGAGACATAAGTGTTCTCACTAACCAGATTCTACTGTATACAGACATCAGTGTTCACACTCACCAGGTTACACTGTATACAGACATCAGTGTTCTTGCTAACCAGGTTATACTGTACACAGACATAAGTGTCCACACTTACAAGGTTACACTGTACGTCAGTGACCACACTAACCAGGTTACACAGTACTCAGACACCAGTGTCCACACCAACAAGGTTACACTGTGCATACACTAGTGTCAACGCTAACCAGGTAACACTGTACAAAGACATCAGTGTCAACAATAACCAGGTTACACAGTACGCAAATACCACTAACCAGGTTACACTGTAAATACATTAGTGTCCACACTAACCAGGTTATACTATACACTGACATCAGTGTTCTCACTAACCAGGTTATAGTGTACACAGACATCTGTGTCCATACTAACCAGGTTACACTACATACAGAAACCAGTGTCCACACTAACCAGGTTACACTGCACAGACATCAGTGTCTACACTAACCAGGTTACACTGTACATAGACATCAGTGTTCTCACTTACTAGGTTGCACTGTACATATTTACACTAATTGTTGCACTGTACACAGAAAACAGTGTCCACACTTACCATGTTACACTGTACACTGTACACAGACATCAGTGTCCACAATAAACAGGCTACACTGTACACAGACATCAGTGTTCTCACTAACCAGATTCTACTGTGTACAACCAGCAGTGTCCACACTCACCAGGTTACACTGAATACGGAAACCACTCAACACTAACCAGGTTACACAGTATACACACACCAGTGTCAACTCTAACCAGGTTACATTGTACAGACAACAGTGTCTACACTAACTAGGTTAAACTGTACAAAGACAACAGTGTCCATACTAACTAGGTTGCACTGTACAGACACTAGTGTTAACACTAACCAGGTTACTCTATACACAGACATCAGTGTCAACCACTAACCAGGTTACACTGTACAGGCAGCATTGTCTAAACTAACCAGGTTACACTGTACAGAGACATCAGTGTCTACACTAACTAGGTTACACTGTTCCATCATCAGTGTCTACATTAACCAGTTTACAATGTACAGAGACATCAGTGTTCTTATTAACCATGTTACACAGTACACAGACATCAGTGTCCATACTAACCAGGTTACACAGTACAGAGACATAAGTGTTCTCACTAACCAGATTCTACTGTATACAGACATCAGTGTTCACACTCACCAGGTTACACTGTATACAGACATCAGTGTTCTTGCTAACCAGGTTATACTGTACACAGACATAAGTGTCCACACTTACAAGGTTACACTGTACGTCAGTGACCACACTAACCAGGTTACACAGTACTCAGACACCAGTGTCCACACCAACAAGGTTACACTGTGCATACACTAGTGTCAACGCGAACCAGGTAACACTGTACAAAGACATCAGTGTCAACAATAACCAGGTTACACAGTACGCAAATACCACTAACCAGGTTACACTGTAAATACATTAGTATCCACACTAACCAGGTTATACTATACACTGACATCAGTGTTCTCACTAACCAGATTCTACTGTATACAGACATCACTGTTCACACTCACCAGGTTACACTGAATACGGAAACCACTCAACACTAACCAGGTTACTCTATACACAGACATCAGTGTTCTTCTTAACCATGTTACACAGTACACAGACATCAGTATCCATACTAACCAGGTTACACTATACATAGACATCAGTGATCTCACTAACCAGTTAATACCACATACAGATATCAGTGTCCACACTCACCAGGTTACACTGTTTACAGACATCAGTGTTCACCCTCACCAGGTTACACTGAATACGGAAACCACTCAACACAAACCAGGTTACACAGTACTCAGACACCAGGGTCCACACCAACAAGGTTACACTGTGCATACACTAGTGTCAACGCGAACCAGGTAACACTGCACAAAGACATCAGTGTCCATACTAACCAGGATACACTACATACAGAAACCAGTGTCCACACTACCCAGGTTACACTGTAAATACATTAGTATCCACACTAGCCAGGTTATACTATACACTGCCATCAGTGTTCTCACTATCCATGTTATACTGTACACAGACATCACTACACTAACTAGGTTAAACTGTACAAAGACAACAGTGTCCATACTAACTAGGTTGCACTGTACAGACACTAGTGTTAACACTAACCAGGTTACACTGCACAGAAATCAGTGTCTACACTAACCAGGTTACACTGGACAGAGACATCAGTGTCCACAATAACCTGGTTACACTGTACACATACACCACTAACCAGGTACACTGTACAGACATCAGTGTCTTCACTTACTAGGTTGCACTGTACATACGTCAGTGTCTACATTAACCAGTTTACAATGTACAAAGACATCAGTGTCCATACTAACCAGGTTACACTATACATAGACATCAGTGTTCTCGCTAACCAGGTTATAGTGTACACAGCCATCTGTGTCCATACTAACCAGGATACACTACATACAGAAACCAGTGTCCACACTTACCATGTTACACTGTACTCTGTACACAGACATCAGTGTCAACACTACCCAGGTTACACAACACGCAAATACCACTACCCAGGTTACACAACACGCAAATACCACTACCCAGGTTACACAACACGCAAATACCACTACCCAGGTTACACTGTAAATACATTAGTATCCACACTAGCCAGGTTATACTATACACTGACATTAGTGTTCTCACTAACCATGCTATACTGTACACAGACATAAGTGTCCACACTTACAAGGTTACACTGTACGTCAGTGACCACACTAACCAGGTTACACTGTACATAGACATCAGTGTTCTCACTAACCATGTTATACTGTACACAGACATCAGTGTCCACACTAACCAGTTAATACCACATACAGATATCAGTGTCCACACTAACCAGGTTACACTATACATAGACATCAGTGTTCTCACTAACCAGTTAATACCACATATAGAAACCAGTGTCCACACTAACCAGGTTACACTGTACAGACATCCGTGTCTACACAAACCAGGTTACACTGTACACAGATATCAGTGTCCACACTAACCAGGTTACACTGTAAACAAACATCAGTGTCCACGCTGACCAGGTTACACTAGGCAAGCATAGAAAAAGATTCAAATATATTGTATGTGCATATTTAGTTCAGGGGAGATTTGTGGAAAACATTTTACACCTAGCTTGTCGAGTTTTCTTCTGTTGCTTTGTCAGTATAAGTATCGTCCATCTCCTTTTCCAATAAGAAGACGTAGATGATTTGTAATGAGACCGACTGATATTTCTCCGCATATCATTACACATCCGGTTGCTTTACACGTCGTTGCATAGATGTTATAGGCAAATAAATTCGAAAATACCAGAACCCCGATGTCCTTTATTATATCAATTGTGGACTTTTGTTAAGGTGAATATATAATATTATGAACCTCATGTTTCTGGTATTTTTGTTTCTATTTGCTTAGGTAACCAAGGCAGAGGTGCTTCGCGGATAAGAGCAACTGTGAACATCCGAGGTTACAATCAATATCTGAAGCAAAACGGCCTCGAGCATGTTCTTGCTGACGTCATCTTTTTAAATTTTGTCTCTCTTACCTTTTTGACATCGTGGTGTAAGTTCATGTAATCCCATAGCGTTAGGGCGGAGTCCGTCTCCTCGTCTGTAACGGTGGCATTACCAAACATGTCTTAAGTCACTTACTGTCCACCGTCCGTTCTACTTGTCTGCGCACCTGCACACAATACAGCCGTCTTGTCAACTTCGTCCAAGTGCATATCTATACTTTCGATCATGCTTCAATTAATCACCGGAGATTCCGGAAACTTTAGAGGAAACATCATTTACGCTACAGAACTCCTACTCTTATATTACATTGAAAAAAATGTGTATATGCACTTAGTTGTTTGTCCGCATAAAGTTCATCTAAATTGAACCTAACGTAAGTCATCTTCCTTAGCAGATCGGTAAAGTAGCTTCTCACATATATGTCCATCGGGGTGGTATTCTTACCAGAAGTTGATCTAAACCCCTTAAATGTGTAAAATTACTCTAACCACCTTAGTTTAGGTCCAAATACAGCTGTAACAAATGTTCAGGTCCCTGTGGTATTCCATCTGAAGTTTCGTTTTTTTCCCAGGGATATATATTAAAGATTATTTTCTGTTATTTTCGAGGATAATTCCATTTGTTTTTATTTTTTGGGTGAAGTCCCTTTAAAGGATATCATACTCAGCACACACGCTTTAGGGATATGATGCTACGACCATACATCACGCTTCTCCGCTCAAGAACACATGATCACGCATTGCATGCATGCTTTACTTAAAATGATATTATGGTGCATGGTACGGTCCTCTCAAGGGAATAACGATGTCACATGCTTGCCCCAATTAAAATGTTTTTACAAGTATACCACATGATGGAAATACGGATACTTCTCGCACTTTAATACACATAAATACACATACATATTTACACGTGTACTCGGCGTATACGCTATGTAGGAAAGGCAGTCAAACCAGTCATTTTAGGAGACACAACTTTCATTTGAAAAGTACATCGCAAGTGAAATATAAAGTTGCTTCGGTAATGTATACTTGGATCCACCACGATGAATGAATATAATTATTACTAAATAAACTGCGTTTTAAAACTCATGTTCACATTTATTGGGTCATTTGACAAATACTATGTACTTAAATGATTATAGTTACGTTTGTGAGTTCCTTATTGTGCTAGCTGTGATCGCCGAAATGGCAGCTCCGGCTGTATGCTCCCCAGGGAGTTGAGAAAGGTATTGGCTGGTTGCAAAGGCCCTATAACCACGGATAATAATTTGTGAACCGCTTTGAGACGACCTACGATCTAGGTTATGATAAAGCGGTATATAAGAACCCCGAATTATTATAATTATATAATATTTATGATATGATGGATCAGCATGGCGTGAACTAAATCACGTTGAAGACGATTGTAAAGATACTAGAAAAGACAGCAACAACAAAAGACTAAACACCGACAGTCAAGTTATATCATTAATTTATTTTTCAATGGACAGTTTTGGTTCCATGACAACCGTTGTTTTAAGAGTTACCTAAATATATCATCCATCACCCTCCATCAAAGAACATTTATTTCCGCAATAGTTTTGTCGCGTGTCCATGACGTCTCAGTTTCCAACGTGTATTCGTTTCAACGTTATTCTTAGGATACGTCTTCGCGGCATCTTTCCCGCGTCACCGCCCGGGATACATCTCCGCGGCATCTTTCCCGCGTCACCGCACGGGATACATCTCCACGGTATCTTTCCCGCGTCACCGCCCCGGATACATCTCCGTGGTATCTTTCCCGCGCCACCGCCCGGGATACATCTCCGTGGTATCTTTCCCGTCTCACCGCCCGTGATACATCTCCATGGTATCTTTCCCGCGTCATCGCCCGTGATACATCTCCGTGGTATCTTTCCCGCGTCGTCGCCCGGGATACGTGTTCGTTGTATTTGTCTTGCAGCATCGGTTTATATCCCAGTATTTTCCAGCGTCTTCTGTATTTAAAAGAAAAAATGTTTGCATCACCGGGACACATTTGCACTGCCCCCATTATTTGCCTCGTGATATTACATCACGTCAACAGGTTATGGTTACTGTCTTTGTTCCGGTCATAGGGGAATGTGTCCGTTGTAGTTGCCTGACCGGAGACCGGTCATAGGGGAATGTGTCCGTCGTATTTGCCTGACCGGAGATCGGTCATAGGGGAATGTGTCCGTTGTAGTTGCCTGACCGGAGACCGGTCATAGGGGAATGTGTCCGTTGTAGTTGCCTGACCGGAGACCGGTCATAAGGGAATGTGTCCGTTGTATTTGCCTGACCGGAGACCGGTCATAGGGGAATGTGTCCGTTGTATTTGCCTGACCGGAGAAGACTAAGGTAACTGTCCCACACAACATCTGGTATATGTTGGTAAATTTGAAACCCTGTTTCCGGGTAAACTTTTAACCTGTACATACATCCCATCATCACTGTTATCACAGCTTTAAGCGACCCGACGTCAGGGTTCGGGTATTTACGTAATGGTATCGGTGGTGACGTCACCGTGACGTCAAGTTTCGTCGGATCTCCTGTCCACTGTTTCATAAAGGTAGCATACACACGTCTTTCCATGTGGGGCATTTGGACTAAAATGATACTCTTGAGGTTTTCTAATAGGTTTTTCGCCTCCAGCACATCGTATGAAAATGCAACGTTTTCTCCCGTGTTTGTGGCTTGTAATTCCAGCAGTATGCGTTCTTCTGGGACGCCTTTAGTCAACGCTATATCTCTAAATATCTCCGCTTCTGTCTTCCTCCATTTCCCTACAGCATCGCAAAATAAAAATAAAAAGATAAATAAAATGCTGATTAGGGTATTACCAATTAATATATTACAATTAAGCGATCTCGTACGTTGTGAAGATTTTGACAGAAGTGTAATAGATAACATTTGTATGAAGGGTAACGCTTCATTAACCCAAGGTTATTTGTCTATATGTTCGGAGTTTAACGTCATCACACCATATATGGTCATATCTAAGACTGGTGTCTTGGTGGGGTTTTTTCGGGACTAATGCAGATACTTGAGACCACAAGTCCTGCTTTTCTTGTGGGACTCGCGCGCCTACTTTCAGTCTGAAACTTTTCCCCTGTATCAAAATTTACGAAAAGAATTAAAAAAGAAGCATTGAATTGCAACTATCCGCTATTATCTGTTTTATTCATTTTCGACCTAATGTGATGGCTCAGTTTTCCACTCGAATATTACATTTTACCTCGTGTGAGGACTCCGACTTTGCCTGAAAACAGTAGACAGTCTGCCTTTCCGTCCAAGAACAGGTTCGACGCGTAGTCAGCTGTTCTGACGTCATGGTTACCCAGAACGAGTATGATGTCACTCTGAAAACAAATCGACGACATGCAGATGTATCATGATAATAATATAATAAAATAAATAATTAAAAAAAGATTCCGCTGGATCGATTGTCCTCCCCTCCAGACTTTTGATTAAACTACTATATATACAAGGTTCTTTTTTATCTTGATAATATTCCAGATGAGAAAAAACGTGTTTGTGTCAATATACGGACTTAGATAGCAAATATATCGTGTGGTGTCAATTAAATTGCAATGTCTATGTGAAAGAAGTTAAATGCTGTATATATATTGTAGAGCGGAGCTTGACATGGTCCGTTGCCGGTAGCATGTAGCGCGTCCGTCTAGAGTTTGGAGGGTCACGGGTTCGAATCCCGGTCTGGTCGTGAATTTAATTCTCCAACGTTCTCCTATAGCTATTGCATCATACAAAGATGTGCTGTGACCCATATCAGTTATAGCATGATATACATATATGTATATAGCATGAGACCTTAATCAATTATATGAAAATTCGGAACAACTGGATCAAATATTTCCCTGATGAAATGAGAATATCAAGAGATAAAGTGTAGCGTAACTAGACTGGGTATAGTTTTATATAAAAAAAGTTTTGTGCATACTTTTGCCTGTTTCAGTGAATATGGGATACCAAGCACTGGGTCTCTATAATTCCATCTACCCTACCTTTCTGGGTGTGTGGTTTAGTATCATGTAGTCCCAAATCGTCTGGGCAGCAGTCAAGTCCTTGTCGGGCACGGGATTGTTGCAGAACATCTTCCAGAGCCTCACATGACCATAACGCAATGATCTCATCACCAAACCGTTAGCCCGTCTCATCATATTGTAAAAATAATTCCGTCGCAATGAAATTACCACATGTTACACTATCCTATTTATAGATATTGCAAGTACAAAATAACGTAGTTGTGCTGCATTAAACATGCACGTAAAGCGAAACTGCCTTTCACGACGTAAACAGCACACATTCACGTGTTTTTGTTTACGTAGAGATGGGAAACCCCCCTATTGTGACGTAATAGGGTTTTCTGTGGTTAGTGCGGCAGTCTTTATTTTCGTAAAAGTGAATGAATGATATAATTAATATTTAAATTGCAATTATTTTCAAGCATGTTACATTTCACTGTCATTGTTTATTGCAGAAACTTTTGTTAAAATGAACGGAGAGTTTCGCATTTTTTTTTTATCTCGTTAACAACGAGAATCTCGTTAGCGCCAGTTTTCGAAACATCAATATTGCGGTATAAATAAGGATATCGTCGATACATTCTGCGTACAAACCGATCATGACTGCTGGTAAGTTGCAACCGATGTGTTTAATTTTCATAAGATATCATGATTTTGTAGGAAAAATCAAAATATCTATATTTGATGCCTGAATGTGACATCACCGAACAAGTTCATCGCCTGTTCGATCGCGAGCTGTAAAGCTGACAATGCAATATTGGCAACATCAATTTGGAATGGTCAGCTACAAGAGCACATTGTCAGACTGTCAATCCCTGGTACATCAGGGAGATGTGGACAATAAGGCGTATGCATGATTTTGTGTCCAGGATCGCGTTACTGTACCCTGTGGCCTTCTGCTGTGGCATGGCCAGATCTGAACCGATGGGTTTAAATTCAGAATATTTAGTTCTTTAAGAAAACAAACTGAATAGCCAGGTACTAGTAACGACACCATATATCTACATCACATTCAATTTTACACAGGATATTATACATTCACAGATGTATATAGATAAATGTTTCAAACATATAGTGGAACTGGACTGGGTGGTTTGCTGGCAACCTGTAGTGTAGCTGCGATAACATAGCTCTAAACGACGGACGGACGATTTCTGATAAATGGTCGTCGTCGTTGGGAGCAGAGAGTAGGCAGGGTATGAATATCTGTATCTGTATGGAATACACTGCTAGATCCCAATTAAGGTAATATTGCAGTGGGTGAGAGAGCGCAGATGTAATTAATCGAGCGATTCGAGGGCTGATCGATTTCAACGCCTCGATAAGTGTCACAATTCACAATTGAGTCACTTAGGTGGTTCCAGTCTATAGTTGTTCTAACTAGGAACGAGTTCCTGTACTGTACATGTTCAGACCTACTTGATGGAACGACTAAACCTCTGTTGTTTAAACGGGCTGAACGGTCGACAATGTTGGTGGTATATCAAAGTCCGTATATGATTTGGCACGGATGTTCCTCACTGCCTTGTTTGCGGGCTGTCAGGTATCTCTGAGGTGGTGTGGCTGGCACCAACCCCTCAACGACTTTGTAGTAGTAAGACAGCCTGATGTTGCGTCGCCTCTCCTGTAGTGGTGGTAATATTCATTCTAGCAACCTGTGGCTTAAAATTAAGGTAGCTCATGGTTGAGTGTCTGTCTTCCTCTTCTCTTCAAGGGGGTACCAAATGAAACCTGGGTTGTATCTTTTTGGGGTCAAAGTCTTAGAAAAAGGAGGGAAGAATGAACATGTAGAAGGACAAGGTAATTCAATTGGTATAGCATCCATCTAGAGCTGTATGGAGGGTCCTGGGTTTGAATCTCAGTCTGGCTGTGCATTTTACTTTCTTCTCCTGTTACATGTATGTCACCTTGGTACAATACACTAGCTGCTTCCTACCGACTTGGCTAGAGAGAATTTCTCTTTAGCTCATTCGGTAGAGCGTAAGACTATAGTAAGTCAGAGGTCCTGTGTTCGACTCCTAGCTAGCAGAGGCATTGGAAAATAGTGATCTTCGTTACCTATATATGGAGTAAACATATATACCACAACATTTTGTTCACACTCCGTCGGATGGGACTATAAATGGTGGCCCGTGTGAGAACTGTCCAATCTCGGACGAAAAAGATCCCTTTATTATGTACCTCACTTCCGGTCCAGGCTTGGTGTTGCTAATACGATTAGTGTTAGATATATATAAGTTAAGGCAAACATTAGGCCTAGGAATCAACTTACAAAAAATTAGGCTTATACATTAAACACATATTGGATAAACGGCTCCTTCTCTCCTCTGTTTCCCTTTTCTATCCCTTCACTCCATACTTTATCCCTTCTACTCATTTTCCTGTCTTTCCTTCTTCTGCTGGATAATTTAACCGAACTACTCGGTAGTGAAGCGGACGTAAAACCAATCAATCAGTCAATCTAGATCTGCACAAGTTAACTTCATAAGTCCTGTTACAATTGGATTATGAAGGGCTTAATACTTAACTTTTAAAGTGAAAATTGAATAATCAGCATTCCATAAATACATTATCTCCTAAATATATAAGTCACTTTGTGCATTGTTGTCTCATATTTGGAGCCGATAATATAAAACATGTAACTGTGTTTGACAATTCTTCTTTCTCTTTCAGGTGGTTCCAATGGTGCTGAAGAAATAGCAAGGTAGAAAAGAGTGAAAGCCAGTATAGTTATTCTGTATGGGTTATAAGAACAAGCTAAACTGATACATCAATAATATCAGTTGATTCTTGGATGATATAAGGTGTATTTTGAGGCAGTAATATGTATATCAGCAAATAGAAAATGGTCATGATCATGTTTAAGTTATATATCTTAAAACAAAATAAAACTGGAATCATCAATATCTTGCTTAAAAATTAATTTCTGATGAAATTTTTATAAATGAATTTTACTCGTTGGATGCAAGATTTTTTTTTATAAAAAATGCAATTGGACAAAAGCAATTTGTAGAATTGTTCAGATTATGGTCTGGTATTAACTTTTGTATGAGGAACTTCATTTTCTGAAAATTTCTTCCCCATTTTAACTAGAGCTTGAGGTTGTTCTAAAGAAGTGTTGTTAATTAGTGATGGGCAATCGGTTTAAAATCATAATCAATAATTGGTTTGTAATCGGAAGTAGTAAACCGATCAATGATCGATTGCAGAGTTGGTTCATAATTTTATGGGATTGAATATCCAAATAAAGTAAGAACACTATCATTACACCAATAGACAGAGTTGTTAACTATACTCCAGGTTTCGTTCTTTTATAATGAATGGATTTCAAGCAATTTTTATGCAGTTTTATCAATCATATAATAAATGTCATATATAAGAATATATGAATTTCAATATATTTTTTACATTGAAAACATGAAAACTTTGATTTCGATGAAGGACCAATTATATCGATAATGGAATTTGCAATCTAGAATCAAAATCAGAAAGGTCAAACTGATCAATTTTCGATTATAATCGATCATCAGCCCATCACTACTGTTAATTATATATATATATAATGATATATGCAGTACGTTAAATTTAATCATTTAAAGTTTCAAGAGATTTAGTTTTTGTCACTTGCACTAACAAGTGTAATACTGGTATATATATATATATATATATGTGTGTGTGATTGTGCACTCGACATGCTCAAAATGATTTTGGTTTGAACAGTGATGGGGATGCTATCAAAGTGTTTGTGAGAATCCGTCCTCCTGATCAGGGAGATTCCGGACACCAGCAGAGTGTTGACGTTGATCAAACTGGATGTGCCGTCGTAGTACAAACAAAACCAGTACCAAAAATCTTCACTTTTGATCAAGTTGTCAACATCAATGCACAACAGGTAATTTAGTCCTTACCCACCATGGCCAGAAGTCATGACATTTTCAACTAGCTCTATAGGGATATTGAATGAAAGCATATTTAAAGCCCCGCCTGTTTTGTGTTTGATCATAAAGTAAACACCTCAATTGTATGACCAATAACAATGGTTATAATGTATTCATTCCAGGGCTTGAAATTAATTTCAAATGCCACTAGTCTATTGGGGTATTTTATTTCTTGCTTTACTAGTCCATGTGCAAATTTCACTAAACCAAAGATTATTCAATATTGAATAAGATCAGCGACATTTTGACTTGTAAATTGGGCTAGCGGTGTCAGAACCACTAGTTCAGCTGGAAATTTCACTAGTTTCAGACTATCGGGCTATATAGCTATCCGTTGTTGTCTATAGCCCTGCATGCACTGGGCTCAAATTTACATATTAATTGTTACAGGTTAAATAAGAGCATCTTTTCATCCCTATTTTCAATGCAATGTTTACATTTTGTTGCCAGGAAGCTGTTTTTTCGGTAGTAGGGAAGACGTTGATAGAGAGCTGTGTCAGTGGGTATAATGGCACAATTTTTGCATAGTAAGTATACTTATCTCTCATGTCTTACTTATACACATGTATAGAAAGTACAGTTATATTTAACTGTCATGTGAAAGTTAAACATATATCCATAATTTGTTGACAAATATATTTGGAAAAAATTATAATCAAAGCAATTTACTCCAATTTTTTTTTAATTTTATTTTTATTTTTTTTTTACATTTTATACATATTAGCCATGAACATAATACTATAAGACTCTTTCATTCTCAGGGGTGTAGGATAGAGAAATCCCAACCGAGGGGTTTTCAAATTTGGTAAAACCCGGCTTTGACGAGGGTTTGGCCAAATTTGAAAATCCCAAAGGTGGAATTTCCCTATCCTACACCCTTGGGCATGAAAGATTATTTTTCTCTCATTACAAGCACCAGAATAAGCCCAGAAACCATGAAATGCGTTGGCATTTTGAAAATATCATATTTTTTTTCTGAGCTTTTTAGACGAAAACGAATCAGCCAGCCAGACTAAGCATATCACATTTTTGGCAAACATTGTTTGCACAGAAAAAATAATCACATCTTTTTAAAGTGTACAGTAAATATATCGTAAAAGGTTTTAATTTCATCACATCATCTTTCCCACATTGAGGCATCGGAGAGTTCTAAATTTGTGACATCACATCATTGTTGAGCCATTGTGACGTCACTTCACGTGAAATGGGGTGTAGAATAGAAAATTTCCTACACCCCTTTCTTACCCTGGACAGCTCTTTCTTACACACAGGGAAATGAGAGAAAAATGCATCATGGATTTTAATAATAAAAGAATTATCAAATTAATATAAAATTACTTAAATTAATGATATGACTTTAATGGTAAAATTGTGATTTTTGTTTTTGTCCAGATGTACATGTAGGTGTTAATTGTTGTACAGTGATTTTCCATAATAGATCATTCTAATCATTTCATTTCCTTAGTGGCCAGACAGGATCGGGTAAAACTTTCACCATGCTTGGTAAGTACGACTTGATTGAGTTTCATGAATATATTTTCTAATATATAGCTAATGAATGCATTTAAAGTAAATGCCCTTGGACTGAGCAATCGTCTAAATTAATGTACTGGTTATACGCGTACGGCTTAAACAGTGTAGATCAAGTCTGCAAATGAAGAAAGTTTTTCTCAGTGTGAAAATTGTTTGCAAAGAGTTGGATTTTTTAATTTGGCTGAAAAATATGTGCATAAAGTATAATGGTGTGGACAAAGTCTGCTTTAATTTGTTAAAAGTTTTTCAGTGTGAAAATTGTTTGCAAAGTTTTGGGTTTGCTTAATTAGCCTGAACAAATATGCACAAAGTATTAACAAGTATCTTCATTTGAATTGTTTTTAAGGACCTAGCGAAGATGCTGACAATTTCCAGCATAAAAACAGAGGCATAATACCAAGAAGTTTTGAGTATTTATTCAACCTCGTATCAAGAGAACAAGAATTGGTAAGAGATTGAATTTGATATGAATTTACTATTTATCCTGTTGTTCTAGAGGTCAGTTTGTTTATATAAAATCATTTGTTTATATAATTCACATTTATAAAAATATTCAACACAGAACAAAATTAACGGCTTAAAGGATACATGCAGTATTACAGTTTTTTGCATCATTATTTTATGATGCCAAAAAGACAGATGTTGCTTTAGCAACTGCGAGTGAATACCAAGTGTTCTGTAACTTCCACTGAATACCAAAATCCTCGATACTCCAGGGGCTACACTCACTTGCACTCTTTGAACCACTGGAATATTTCATTTTTCCAAATTGAAGGCTCCCAGGTCTGCCATCTCGCAGTCAGTGTGAGTTGTGTCCCCTAGAATAACGTATTCACCAACCAATCAAAATATGTGTAACACAATTCAGCAAAAATGTAAACATGGAAGCACCCCCCTTCGTCAGTCTTCGTTCATCAGCGAAACTAATGGAATAGTTGTGTTCATCGGAACTAAATCAGGTAGTTTTTTAAAGTCACTAGAAATTATTGTTCTGTGCTTTTTTGGTAGTAAATTGTGACAAAATCTGCACAACCTCATGTTTACGTTTCCTTTCTGCTTGTAAATTTAATATGAATGGATGCAGCCAGTCTTGTCTGCATCGAATCGGATGGGACCGACTTACTCAGACGCTGAAATCACAGTCTAAATCTTGCAAGGATTAAGAGTTGGTAGACCAGATTTATAGCACCAGATCATAATTGTTGGCCATCATAATTGTGAATACCCTTGTTTCTGGCAATAAAAGACATTTCATATATCCTATTATTTCTTTATTTCAGCATGGCAAGGGTAAGGAGTTCCTAATGAGGTGCACATTTCTAGAGATTTATCACGAGCAGGTGTATGACCTCCTGGATCCCTCCACCATGAGCCTGTCTTTAAGAGAGAGTATGAAGAAAGGCGTCTATGTGGACGGCCTGGCAGAGAAGGCCGTCACCAGTGCTAGTGAGGCCTACCAGGTTAGATGTTATTTCATCTGAAAATTAGAGATGGGAATCCATCACATTTTCATATAATCGGTGATCAATTATAATCGGTTTTGTAGACTAATGTGTTTCTCTTGTTGAAAATATAGTAACTTTTGATTGAATGTATAAATTACAAGTAAAAGTGATGAGAAGTTCTTTTAACACAACCAATAAAATTTTCTATGTGACGTTTCGATGACTAGTGTGATATGTACACTGTCACCTTCAACAGACAGAGAGAGCAATCTGCTCAAGCGGCAGTGGGCCAGTTCTAAATCGAGACGAGGGGGCTCAAAGACTCTCGCACATCTATGACCAAGTGTTAACAAAGCGTAGCTGAATTGAGTCATTTCGGTACATATAACAACTATTGTACATACGTTTCCAGCGTAGCCGAAATCGACATCGATTTTATGGACAACTCATACACATTTTACACCTTTATGTGCATACGCTTCACTGGTCATTTGTCTGATGAAGGTGACAGTGTACATATCACACTAGTCATCGAAACGTCACATAGAAAATGTTATTGGTTGTGTAAAAAGAACTTCTCATAATCCATACTTACCAACCTGAAGAAAATGTTTAGAAATACAAGTACAAGTGTATAAATGTTTTGAATCTTCATATCCATAATTTCTACACATTGAATGGTGTCACACAAATGGTCATTAAACGGATATAAATGCTGTTGTCTGCGAGTTGCAAAATGCAAAAAGTAAACTAGTTTATATGAAGAATTACAATAGTTCCTAGCTATTTTCAGATTCAAACATACCATGCTTTATCAGTATATATTATTACTGAACTTTTTTTATTTAAATTTTGCCTCAAATTAAATATACCGGTATTCATTTTTCATCTAATTTTCGATTGTTTTTTAAAATTACCCATCACTCCTTAGTCCTAAAAAATATATAAGCGATATTAATGTACATATGTAGATAATGGGGATGTTTGTTCATTAAAAATTTTGTGCTGATTTTACAAATCCTAGGTGTTGAATGACGGATGGAGGAATAGAAGAGTTGCCTCCACCTCCATGAACCGTGAGAGCTCCAGGAGTCACGCCGTTTTTACCATCTTTATTGAATCTAAAGTAAGTGTTAATTAAAAATCCCTGGGTTACCTCCCTTTATCAGTATGTAGACCTATATGGGGGAAAAAAATATATCAGATTTTTTTTTGGTTGGTTGGTTGGTTGAGGTGTTTAGCGCCTACATGTTAAATATATGTAGACCTATATGGGGGAAAAAAATATATCAGATGTTTTTTTGGTTGGTTGGTTGGTTGAGGTGTTTAGCGCCTACATGAACCGCCCTTACGGGTTTCATCCCACTGACGAAAGTGAGATGAAACCTGTAAGGGCGGATTCATGTAGGTGCTAAACACCTCAACCAAACAACCAACCAAAAAAAAAATCCACTGAAAGTATTCTAGAAGTACAACTTGTCTGTCATTTGTTTTATATATAAACTTTACAGATGTGGTGGAATTCTTTTCCTTTCTTCAATATTAATGCTTCAGAAATGTTTGGGGGAGCAATCAATTGCTGGTGCTGTCAAACTTTCATTTTATAGATCTAGACCACTCTTAGGAAGTTCAAAAAGCGCAGCCTCTTAGTAAATACATGTTCAGGTCACAATGAAACCACTACAATGGGGAACGTTGGTCTAAAATTATCTAGCATAGGTGGTCTCATAATGCAGGTGGTCTGATAACACAGGTGGTCTCTTTATGGAGGTGGCTGCATGAGCCGGTTTGACTAACACTTATGATAATTCCACATTTTTCTCGCTACAGGAACAGAAGTCTGGAGTACAGAATGTAAAGGAATCGCTTTTAAATCTTGTCGACCTCGCTGGAAGTGAACGGCAAAAAGATTCAAATGCAGATGGTCTGAGACTGAAAGTAAATATACATTTTTTTCTACATAAGGATATAACATTTCAGGAATGAGCTCTATGAAATGAAAGCTTATTGTGATAAAACATAATAATGTTAGAAGAGTGAACAGTTCTGTTATGTTTTATAAATGTGTTTGGTTTGTGTTATAGGAAGCTGGAAGCATCAACAAATCTCTGTCGGTGTTGGGAAAGTGTATCATGTCACTCGTAGATATAGCACATGACAAAGTGCGACACATACCTTACCGGGAGTCTAAGCTGACCTTCTTACTCAGGGTGAGTTGTTGGAAACAAGTATAAGGTCCCTTGTTGATAAAGAATAAAGTCAGCTTAACTGGGAGTCAAAACTACCGTCACTTAACTGTTCAGACTACAGCGTATTTGTTGGGAATTAACCCTGTGTGACCTTTGTTACACTTTTTGACCCTGTATGACCTTTGTTAGACTGTATGACCTTTGTTAGACTGTTTGATCTTGTATGACCTTTGTTATACTTTTTGACCCTGTATGACACTTATTAGACTGTTTGACATTGTATGACCTTTGTTACACTGTTTGACCCTGTATGACAAACTGTTTGACCTTGTATGACCTTTGTTAGACTATTTGACCCTGTATGACAGCCTGTTTGACCTTGTATGACCTTTGTTAGGCTGTTTGACCCTGTATGACCTTTATTTCACTCTTTGACCCTGAATGACTTGTGTTACATTGTTGGATCCTGAGTGAGTTTTGTTTTGCATTATTTGACCCTGTATGACCTTATGCCGCTTGTTTTTATGACCTTTAATCTCTTAACTCAACTTAACCATAACTTGTTTCACACTATCAACCCAAGATATCTTTTGAACCAACTTATAATAATAATTTGAACCATCTATATTCATGATGAAATTTATTATTGTTAAAACTAAAACAAGTGAAGTTAATTTCTTGCTGCTTTAAAAAAACATCTACTTGACCATTTCAGGACTCGTTAGGTGGAAATGCTAAGACACGCATCATAGCCTGTGTACATCCAGACTCAAGGTAAATGTACAAGACTTCTGAGTATATTGTTTGGGGTAAAAAGATAGAAAATACATTATATGCATGATTTTAACTCACTCATCCCTGAAATTTCATAATGAACTATTCCAACCTTTGAATTGGAAGAGCTCAAATGTGTCTTCAGGGGTAAATGAGTTGAACAATGCTTTATGACAATATGAACTAATCAAACTTTTCATTAAGTGTCGCCAAAAATTGCCTTAAAAATGCAAACTCTATTTTTTTTTATTTCAGATAGATCATTATTCAGAATTGATTATTCTCTGAATATTGCATGTTCATCTTCAGAAATTAGTTAGAAGATCACATATAAAATATATTATTAATGAAGAAGTTTCAGTTTCTAATATCTTCAATTGTACCACATTTTGAACATTTTCCACAGACATTTCGGGGAGACCTTGTCCACACTTCAATTTGCTCGACGAGCAAAGATGATAAAGAATAAGGTGAGAGCAAAATTATCAGGAGAATTCGGAGAAATATTACATACATTACTCCATATTTTTGTATGCACTTACATTACTAGTGGTGTCACAATATGCCCGGAGTGTTTCAAGATATATATATTGCAACACAGAATGAACGTATTGTGACACATATCCTGAAATATATATACATTGTATTGTTGTGGGAAAAATGTGTTCAATTTAAAACAAAATTGTTGTCGGAATGTTATCAACTTAATCATATATGGATCACACAGACTTAAGATTTTTGTGAAACCAAACATCAATGACGAAACTTAAACTGATTCCCACCTCTAGTTATAGCCTGATAAATGGTTATTGGCATGTCTGTCAGAATGTGTAGAAATGTGCAAAGTTTAAACACCAAGAAAATACACAAAGATAAATCCTTGAAAAATATTGCAATACAGTGAAATTTCTTCTCTGTATTGCGATACGATATGGCTATGTATTATTATATACCGGTTTCCTGATATATTGTGACAGCCCTAGCACTTACACACATGCATGAAAAGAGAGTGTGCTCAAACATCTTAGCATTAGATATAACTGCTATTTTTCATCAGTTGGTGGTCACATCGAAATTGAATGTTTCCATTGTTGCACTGGTACATCGTTGGTCAGCCATTTGAGAACAGATTTCATTCAAACTTTAAACAAAGATTTTGTATTTGATTACCTTGAATTGTATTTTAGGGTTTTAAAGTCAAGGCTAAGGTCATAGTTACTATTTATAGTAATTTGAGAAACAATGACACTACATAAACTTGTATGGGAGTTGAGGCATCCATGTTTTAAGACACTTACCAGTTCCAAAAAAGCAAGGATATATATACTTAATATACTATATACACTGCTGCTCTTACTCATTTCATATTTCAGGGTGCCCAGGTAAACACTTGCTATGTATAGCTAAACAATTAGTTGCTTTTTTGTCAGCAGATTCTTTTCTTTCACCAAAATCTAGATTTGGATGGGTTTTGAAATAAAAATAAATAAAACTGTTGGCTTGATGAATCTTGTGTCTAAAATTGTGTTAACATTATCATATCTAAACAAAAACAGGCAAAAGTGAATGAAGATACGCAAGGAAATTTGATGTCACTACAAGCTGAGATTCGCCGTCTCAAGGAGGAAAACCAACAACTACTCTCTGCTGGTGGAGCGGCTCTAACAAGTAAGATAAATAATTCAAAGCGCACTGTGGAAAGAAAGAAGTATTTAGCTTACTGAATGTATACCTAATTTCTTGTTGGCAGCATATTTAGAGACCTCTCTAGGAACATTTTTGGCATTATTTTTCAAGTTAAAATGTTGAACAATTTAGAGCAATGAGATGAAAATCCCTTTTCAAGGATCTCTGAATTACTGTCAAAAAATAACTATGCATTGGAAATGGCTGTCCGGCATATCTATTCCGTCTTTGCGTATTGCAGAGTTATCTGCTCTTGTGAGCAGGTATTGATTTTTACGTCATTTGTTTGTGAGATTAAAGTCATCAATTTTTGAGAAAACGACGTCATTTTCTCACACAAACCAATGACGTAACAATCAATACCTGCTCACAAGAGAAGTACTATTGCCAATTTTGGGGCTCTTCAGGCAATTTGTATATAAAGAATAAAAAAGATTGGTGTTTTAAGTTTATAAATATTATGTGATTGCACTGATCATAAATATGTGTATAGCATTTAAATAGTTGAAACGTTTTATTAATTGATGTTACAGTTGTTCTCTATGTCAGAAAATATGAATGATACTTTCTCAGTTCTGTTAAAATATCACACTCTTTCCCAACCAAAAAACTTTGAAGCAAAGGTAGAAATATCACTCCTTGACTAGTTACCAAATCAAGTTTTCATCAATGCTCAAAGTTCATTTGAACATCTGTTTCATTTAAGATCATTGTTCAAATACCATTTACCATTTACTGAATTAGTTGTTCCCTGGCATACACTGTCAAAGTATTTGTCAAAAAGTTAATTTTAGCAGATCTAATTAAGTCCTATAAGCTATAATATATTGGGAAATTTTCGCTGCAGTTTGCTTTTTGTCCTTTTTTCACCCTCAGTAATGTGGGCAAATTTACATTACAGCAAATATTAGTAAACAACATAATATACATGGCAATTAAATGTACTGTGTGGAATTATCACTGTAAATGATGCCGTTAGAAGCACTGTCCCACTACAAACAGAACACATTACATCTCCAGCACACACATAGGGAGATATTAGGTGGCATAGGACTAGTAGTTAGCGCCTGATAAGGCAGCTCCTGCGAATTCCTCAAATTGTATTGATTACTGTATATGCTTATTGTATTGATTGAATATCTATGTACTGTAAAGCGCTTCAGAGTGGCTTATGTTAGCTAGATAGGGCACTATATCAAAATTAATGTTGTATATTTTTTAATTTAAAAAAAAAATGGATTTTACTTTGGAAGGACAAAAGTTTGACTGGGCGACAGTTTCCAGCTGGTACACTATAATTCATATTGTGGAAGGTAATTTCTACATTTATAGTCAGAAATTGATGGTGTTATATATTTGATTAGGTACTGATCAGTCACAAGGTCCTAAAAACCATGAAGCTGGTTCGTCTGTATGGAAGGAGAGATTTGTGAATGCCATGATGCTAAAGGAGAAATCTGATGTGGACAAGAGGGTAAGAATAAGTGTATCTCCGACTTTTGAATGCAAAAGATCATAGTACACAGAAACACCTTTTCAGTGACACTTAATTCAAATAAGGCCAAATAAAAAAAAAAATGGTTTCCGCTGACCCTACCTACCCTAGATTTTTGTGCCTACCCTGAAGTTTGTTTTGGCATTTAGTGATATGCACTGTTAAAGTCAGAGCTCCTGATCTATATAAGCAAAGCTAAAATATTGTCCATAATAACAAAACTGCAAACCTACCTACCCTTTTTTTCTGAGGATAGTAGCAGAAACACAAGTCATTTTTTTTCCAACAAAGGAAAACAGATGCTGCAAATAAAACCTGAACCAAATATCCCATGAACAGACAAAATATGATATTCCATTTTGAATTCATGTTCATTAAAACATGTACTGTAAAATTTGGGGATCAAAGGTTTTGCTATATATGTCCTATTTTGGGATTCACATTTTACTGCAAAATGTTTTGCCAGAAAATTGCAATTTATCACAGTTTGAAGGTATATATAGAAAAGATTTGTGCATAAAAATTGATGTAAGCTTTGGAAATGTTTGAAAAATGTAATCTGTTGGAAAACACCATCTTGATAATAACAGAAATTAGCAAAACGTTTGTTTAATGAATTGACTGAACGAGACATTCGTGTTTAAAGGTTTGGAATATAATTCAAAAGTTCTTATTTGCATTAATTTTACATGGCAATCGTTTTTTCATGCCTCTGAGTGTTTATTTGAACTTACAATTAATACATTATTTTCAAAAAGTTTTCTTTAAGATCATATTTTGCAGGAAAACGTTTGCAAAAATTCTCTAAAAAGTCATTTGCCATATATTTTTTGTATACGGGTAATCATTTTCTAATGATGTTTGCGTAAAATGATGGGCCAAGAACAAAACAAACCTATATGAATACAAATAGGTACAGCAATATCAACCTCTTGTCCATTAATACTGTAAAGGCACTTTTTTAGCAGACTCCAATTTTAGCATATAATCAAATGTTAACAGCTTAGCACATTGATGAATCGGCCCAATGATAATACACTGTATGTAGTAAAAAACAGAACTTCAGTTAGCAAAATCATAATTCAGCTTAATACACGACCAAAAATGCTAAATTCAGAATTTGTATGCTGACAGATGTACTACTGTAAAACTGTTCATTTAATTCATTTAAAAAGCTAAACTTATTTGAATCCTCTTTGAAATAATCAATGAAAAAATCATGTATTATTTACATTCAAAATATGCAAACTATTTCAGCCGTTACAAGAGAAGATTATGAAACTTGAAGAACTCTGCAATAAGAAGGACAAGATTTTACAGTCAACAAAAATGATAATTAAATTCCGAGAGAACCATATCACTAGGCTAGAGAAGACTATCAAATCTAAAGAAGGATGGGCCGATTCAGAAGAACTCATGGTAAGTAATACAAAATGGAACTGATTCTTCCAAGAGTTAATGGTAAGATGTTCTGGACAAAAATTAAGATCCATTTTCCTTTCACTGGAATGCATTGATGACGTCACCGTGGTTGGAATATTATAAGACTCTTTCATGCTCAGGGGTGTATAGGATAGGGAAATTCCACCTAAGGGGTTTTAAAATTTGGTAAAACCCGAGGCTTTAGTATTTTCATCTCATTCCAACCACCAGAATAAGCTCAGAAACCATGAAAATACGTTTGGACTGGTCACTATTTTGAAAATATCAAATTTCCCCCCAGAGCTTTTTAGACGAAAACGAATTAGCCAGCCGGATTTAGCACATCCCATATTGGCAAACAGTGTTTGTGCAGGAAAATTAATCACCATCTTTCTAACGTGCAGGTAAATATATCGTAAAAGGTTTGTTGTTTTATCACGTCGCCTTTTCCGCATTGCGGCATTGGAGAGTTCCAAATTTGTGACGTCACATCATTGTCGAGCCATTGTGACGTCACGTCACATGAAATAAGGTGTAAGATTGAAATTTTCTTCACCCCTTTCTTACCCTGGAAAGCTCTTTCTTACACACAGGGAAATGAGAGAAAATATGTGTCAATGTAGGTCAAATGTATAGATATTAGTTTATTTTATCACATTTTTGCCATGAGATACTTGATTCTACCAACCTGGTTTTAACTCATATCCTTTACATTAACAGATGTCCGAAGGAAAATCTGCCTGACCAAAACCGAAATGCTAACTATCACTAGTTTAATGTACTTTTTCATAAAAATGTGGTCAGTTTGCTCATGTATTTAATGACATACTAGAAATTTAAGTACACAGGTAAAAGTACCACATATAATTCTTGATTAACTATTATATATTTGACACTAAACTCCGAAACTGCTTTTTGAGCCTCGCATATTAGGTTGGCCCACTTCTTTTCCAAGACTGTTCGTTTATCACAGAATATTTCTCTACCAATGCATATGGTACTGTTTCAACTATACCCAGGAATAGCCAAATAATCTTGTTTTTATATGCCCGCCCTATGATAGGTCGTATTATCGCATACCTCTGGGCGTCCATCCGTTAGTTATTGTCTCGCCGCCACGAAGTGGAAGCAAGACTAAGGTGTTGCTTTTACGGCGACATCGTCAACATTAAGCTTTTGCGTTTAAGTTAAATTCTAATACTTATTTTGGTAGTACATCTCAACCCATGCAAAAAATCCTGAATGCAACCTACCTTTCATGGTCCATTGACTTTGTCAGCATTTTCATCAACTTTTGTGTTTAAGTTAGTTTCTCTGAAAGTATAATTGCTACACCAACCAAACTTGGACCATAGATGTATCTTAGGTAGTACATCTCAATCCATGCATCAAACGCAGGAAGCGGCCTACCTTTCATGGTCCATTGACTTGTCAGCATCTCCATAAGTGGGGCATAGGCGAGACATATCAATCTGAATGACTTGTTCCTTGTTTAGCATGTAATACATGGATGTTTTGTGGTAAAAAGTTGTTGTGGTGAGCTAATCAGGCACTGAAATGCTGGGCTCTGGTGATTAGTCCAATACCTAAATAATGTCTTTATCATTTCTGTATGTGGCATACAAAAGTGGTTACATTTGTCTCACACTACAATACATGGTTTAATAATGTATTTTTAATAGTGACACATATGTAGAGAAACAGGCTTAACTAAACTGTATTGGTTAAAACTAGATTGATTTATGAATATCTTATTTCAGGTGGATTTAAAAGCAGAGATTCGTAGTTTAGAGGACAAAATGGAGCACAACCCTATGGTAACCAAATATGCTATGGAGATTCAGCACCTGAAGTCTGAGCTTCAGCAGTATCGGTCGAGCGACGCCACCCAGGAGGGCGCCATGACCAGCAGCCAACGTATTATGGAATTGGAACGCTTGTTTTTTGACCTCATGGCAAAACAAAGTAGCGATGGTACTGATGATTGTTTAGACTTTGCATTAATTGAAAGTTAACTTTTGTATCAATTATTATTTAGTATGAACATTAAAAAGACTCGTTCACGTTTGTTCAGACTGGATGGGGAATATTCCATCCTATGGTAGATTCAACTCTTGCTGATTGTTTTAATCAATTTGAAGTCTACCAGGGTTGAATGTCCGTATCCTTTTAAATAAAAGTAAATTTGTTTTCCTCTTAAAACTCCCAGAATAATTAGATAATTAAATTCTGGAAAATGCTGATTAGAATTCTGAAACTGATCTGAAAAACTAAAAGTTATCAGAATACCAATATATGAAAAGTATTTCTATTAACCTTTGATGTATGAAACTTTTCAATAAGACCAAGTTGATGAATTTGTTTCATAAAGAAATTTTGATGCTTTTGAGAAAAAATTTGGCTTGTTTTGGATATTAAATTTTATACACTATATAATAACATCCAACAGAATCCGAACAAGAATATGTGGGCACACCCACACGCACTCCTGTGGCTGTAGACAACATCTCTGTGGCCACCATAGAAAAGAATAAGTCGCTCGAGACCCAAGTTGTTACGGTAAGAGTATTTTGGGGATATATACCTCTTGGGTAGTTTTCATCCTGTTGATATTCTATATCTTTATAGGTCCAACCTTTGATTTAAAGGTATAGGTCCAACCTTTGATTTAAAGGTATAGGTCCAACCTTTGATTTAAAGGTTTCATAAAGGAGGGTCATATCTAGCTGGTAATAGTTCTTTAATACTGCGGATAGAGGCAAGATATTAGAAGTCCTGTTCATCTACACGTATATACAGGAACACTACCAGGACTAGAAATTAATTTGATATAAAACCACTAGTCAGTCAGGCTAGGCTGGTGGTTTCCAATTTTACTAGTCCATGTTCAAATTCCACTAACCCAGTATTATTCAACATGACAAGTAATATTTATTTTGACTAGTCAATTGGGCTTTTAGCCTAGCAGTTTTTAGAGTGAGATTTCACTACCGTATTTATCCTGCAATAAGCTCAGGGGGCCAACACATGATCTCTGACTGAAAGTAAAGGGCGAGCTGGGCTTATTACAGGACAATAAAACAGCTTTTGCTGCCATTTTTACTGAACTGTAATATATATGGATTGGCTTATTACCAGACTTGGGCTTATTGCTGGACAAATACGGTAGTCTCAGAGGAGTGGGCTACCTTTACTGTCTAACTGTAACTAAGGACTAAACCAGCAGGCTTTTAAGTACACACAAAACTTAATCATGTACTATATGTTATTACTAAGCTTTTGAGCCAATAGCGTTACTATTTGAAGTTCAACACTAGTGACAACTGTCTAGATTCACAGATAAATATCTGAAAAAGGCTCCAAAAGGCATTTTTGGCTGGTTTAATGGCATATAAGAACTCTACATGTGTCTGCTTTTGACAACCGGAAGTTTACAAGCCAAACCGGTGAAGTAGGACATGAAAACCCCCGACATTTGACCCGATATCAATCCGCCATCACATTTCAAAATCTACTAAAACTACATTTTTCTTAAGTTCAGTATCTGTAGATTTCATTCAACAATTACCCATTTAAATTACTCAGAGGCACTGTATTTAACCGTAACAAATTTTAGGTAGGGATGACAGTCAGATTGGCCGATTTAGTTGTGCGAGTCCTTAACAGGTAAAACATACACAGTGAGATACAATATCAATGTAACGCTATATATTGTTCTGTATATATTGGGACAGCTCAAGCAAACAGTGACAGAACAGAAGGAGGCCGCAGAAAAGAGAGAGATGGAACTCGAGTCCGAGGTGGCTTCCCAGAAGAAAACTATAACAGAACTGACCACTGTTTTAGAGGCTCAACAACTAAAGAGCAAGCTGGAGAGGGACGTCCACTTCCAAACTGTCCAGGTACATCTTGTTTCTGTACCTCGCTATAGACATTCTCTAGAGAAAATAGATTTCGATGATCAATGTGAAAAGGAACTATTCTCTCTTTATGTATTTTATTTTGGCCTTTGAACACAATGGGAATTCAGCATAGGATTGGAAATGGTTTAACTTGATAAAAACATCTCTGACAGGCAGAAGGGCAGATACATCACAGGTGGAGTGCACTGGGATACTGTAAATGTTCGGGCAAAAAGTTGGGAGGGCAAAAGTGTAACGGTTCATAGTATCACAATTTGGCTGTCAAACCAAAAAGTAAATTGATTTTCTAAAGCTCTGGGAAATGTTTCCATCCAAAACCAAAGTTTTTGCACTATATTTGACATGTAAAGGTACCCGTGTTTACTTTAGATAACATTGGTTCTATTTTCCGTTTAGTACTCATACAAAAGTTTATCTAGAGGTGCAAAAATCAGCAACTATAGAAAAGAAAACTTAAGAATATTGCAAATCGGTGGGAAGAACCACTTAAAACTGAACCTAAAATTACACAATTCTTTATATTCAGACAATCACTACGCCAAAGAAGATACGATATAACCTTCGTAGCACCACCCACCTAAACTCTTCCACCAGTACCACACCCAACCTGGACAACAGCATAGATTTTGAGGATCTTGGCGACGACCTTTTCGCTGAAGCCCAGCCTCCTTTCATGATGCAGCAGGCCAACGAAGCCCTTAGAGCCGAGGTGGAACAGCTACAGGTGCGGTATACATTCCCAGAATGTTCTCTGGGCGTTGGGGAAGAATCCGTCCCCTCCACAAAGTGGCTGGATTAACTGGTGTGATATATATTCCCCGAGTGTTCTCTGGGAGTTGGGGAAGAATTCTGTCCCTTCCACAAAGTGGCTGGATTTCTAGGCCACATTTGTTTATCGGGATCCAAACTGTTTGAACCAGTTGGACCAAAGTTGTTCGTTTATGAAATAAGGTCGTACCTAGTTATCTGATGCTGCTTTCAGACCAGCCTTGACAAAAGTCTTGCAAGGCCTGCATTAACATATTTGCAGGTCCACTAGGATTTATACCCGAAAATGTTACATTGAAAAACAGACAAACCGGTTGAACCGGATATACTTGAAAGGGCCTAGTATGAGTTTTTTTATGGTTCTTTATCACTTCTCTTTCTTCTTAGTTGTGCTTAGGAACAAAACTTTTACAGCATCAACCTCATATTGATATGTGATTTGATTATGAAAATTTGTATTTGTTTTATTAACAAAAAGTTAAGAACATTTGCCTGTCAGTACAAAAAATAATATTTGTGTAATGAAAAATGATTAAATGTAATAAATATTAAAAGAATAATATATTATTCAACCAAAGATACATGACATTTTCAAGCAAAAAACATCAAACGAATATGTTGTTTCATTCATGTTAATCCTGGTTGTTTTTTTGCTCTGAATGTATTTTTTTTTATAAATTCAACATTACATGTATAGACACAGCCCTCTGATCACAACAGGGAGAATGTAATAAACAAGGCCAATTCCTCTCTGTGCTTCAGAAGCTGACATGTAACCAATTATACAATTCATATTCTGGTCCTCTATAAGTATAGGTGGTACATTACTACACTTCATATCGTGACTGTATTAAACTCTGAACACCAGGCCAGCCACCAGTTGACTATCTGAGCAAAATGAATACTGTATACCGTCAAACTTTTGCCCTTCGACAGTAAAATATTTTTTTACCCAATATTAAATTTGCCCTTCACATTAAATTACTATGAATATTATATTATTTACAAATTTATGTTCGTTGTAACGATAAATTCACACTCATTACGGTGGACAAACATTTCCCGGTATACAGTAAGCTGTCCTTAAACTGCCCACCAGAACTCTAGAAAAACTTAACATAGTCTTCAATAAGATTCATCAGTTTGGAAATATGTAATATCAAAGTTTTACTTTATGCATAAACAATGTAGGTAAGTATTTTGTTTGTGTATTAACTCATTCACCCCTGAAATTCCATAATGCACTTTTCCAACCTTTGAATTGGAAGAGTTCAAATGTGTCTTCGGGGGTGAATGAGTTAAGTAAAACTTGAGATTGCTAGAAACTGCTACATATATTACAGACTTTGTTGTATCTAATATCATGTCATGACGTTCCAAGTGTACAATAGTCTCAATTATTTTATTAGGAAATTCTTCAATTGTGTTACCCAGTACGTACTTCAGTTTGAGAGAAACACTGATCCTTGATCTGAATCTCTCACAAAATGCATGTTTTTTGCCTTTTCCCTTTACATTTAATTAATGCATAATAACTTTCTTGTAGTTCAAGTTCAATTTGTTACTTGATTATAAAACTTTGATTTTCAGAGTTCCAACAATAACATGACAGAACGCATAGATGAGTATGAGTCGGATGCAATCAAACTCAAACAGCACATCTCCAAGATTGATCACCAAAACGCCCAGCTCACTGAGGTATGACATGAATGGACCTCTTATGAAATAGATGAGGTTATCGGTGTTACATAAGGTTTCTTGTGTAGTTGAGATATGGCCAGTATTAAGCAATTGTGTTTATCTAATCATGAGCCAGGACTTTGGTAGGTAGGTATGGAATATATATATTTTTTTATTTTTTTTTATTTTTTTACAAATTTATGTCACTTTTTACAGCTTTTAAGTACATACGGTAGATCTTTTGAAAAGGATTTTTATCAGTTGCATATTTTGATGTTGATAATGTCCACTGTCAGATATAATCATTTCCAGTGTTTGGGTTAAAGCAGAAATACTTCTTTATACTGTCTTTATTTAGTTGAATTTTATAAATGATAAAATAAAATTCCAAAATACCATGGTTAATAGGGGCTTATTTCCTGGGTTGGTCAGGTTTAGCCTAACAATCAGTGTATTATTTAGGTCTCAAAACAATGTTTTAGGTGTATCCTGTAACTTTGTGTTAGGTGTACTTAGTTGACTATACAGGGCGAGCTATGGGTCTTGATTCAGCGGCGCCAAATTTTAATTTGTGAACAAACAGATGCGCCTGATTGCGCGCGACCATGGACCAGTGCCCCCCTCCCTTTAAATTTTAATTTATAAATTCCATTATATGCATTCTAATATATCCTAGACAGGAAATTAATAATTGAAATGAATTATATTTTCTATGTTTTATGACAAGAAAAAACAACAACAAAAAACACTGCAAATAATTTCTGTTTTTATTTATTTTTGTGACATTCCCTGGCCTTCTGCATCCAAACTACCAGGCTTCTATATCCAAACAGGCTGCTCCATGTTGCTAAAGTGCCAGGACGAGAGATTTCATCTGTTAAAGTAAAAATAAATATTAAAGGGAGATATTAACATATATATATTGGAGCATATTATTTCAACCAAATTTAAAGGCTGATAATTTAGGAATTTCCCATCCTATCAATAGTTTTAATAGTGGTTATTTATTTCCATATCATCAGTTGATAATTGTCAGTAAAGAAAAAGCATTTTTTTAGCGTAAATGTCAATTAACTCACATCTTGTAAAAAAAAATGTATATCGGTGACTGAAAACAAAATATTGGCAAATTGTCGTCTTGAGCATTGTGCAAGAATAACACAGTTCAAGTGGAATATGTCGTTTTAAGTACCCTGGTAAATATATCTTGTTATTTTTTATCAAAATTAAAGAGAAAGTCATTAAAAATATCCCGACTGCGTCTAATGTAAACACTCCCGTGCACGTGCCTCGTTATTGCCAGGCATCACTTCACGGGACTGATCTACTCTACTGTAATCAAATTAAAACAACCCTTTTCCCGACCCTAACTTACCTCATTGTTCTCCACAGAGCACCCCTCTGAACAAGACAATGTAGCTATAATTGGATAATTGGCGATTTTGATAGCAGGCAGTGTCGTTGTGTTGACAGGTGACCTTTTGTTAAAACACAAAAGAGTTCCAATACCTGACCTTGCCATTTATCGGAAATGCAGTCATCCGTTATGTAACGTTCTAGTTCACAGCGATGTCAGGGACAGAAAATTTACCTGTAGCAATTGCTCTAGAAACAGTTATCGCCAAAGTTTTTTATATTGTCGATAGTAACTTAAATAAAACTGCCTCATCTGCATTTTCGCCAAGAGCAGTTTTAAATCGCCAATCGTGTTTTACTTTTGCCAGTGGCGACCGCTATATCAATGGTACATGTTTTCTGTAGATGAGATTACATTTATATAAAATAGGGTTGTCAACAGTTAACCAGTTCCTCAGGTGGAAGATCGTGAAGGGTATTGTACTCTATTGTAAAAATAGACAAAGATATGCCAACTACACTGTAAAAAGCCTAAACAGATTGTAAAAGGGAGCCATAATGCAAATTTGTGACATTGTTTTATAATTCTACGTGTGATTTATTTTACAGATCCTGCAAAGAGAGAGAACGGAGCGAACCACTACTGGTGAAAAATCTGATACTGAGCTTGTAGAACTTCGCAGAAGGTTAATTGAGGCAGAGAGAAACCTGACATGTAACTAGTTTTAAATGATATTAAAACAGATCACTCCAAACTGTATCTGAATATTTGATCGATCTCTCCTCATCTTCTTACAAATATGACTTCTCTATGTGATATTTTTCTCAGGGAACTCCCCAGATATCTATTAAAAAAATGGTACTGAACATAAACAGTTATTTTAGAATTATTTATATATTGAGCTGTTTTTTTGCCCTATATTCTTCACATCAGGGAAGTAGATGACTTAATTTATAGTAATCCACTGTTAATGGCTAGCTGTATATTATGGATTTTTTTAATGCAAGATATGTGCTATCACAAGGAGGCAAGTACACCAACATACCCTGTCTCCAGCACACATACACACATGCATGCATCCACAACAAACAGAGAGATATGTCCTTAAATGACCTTAGCTGTTAAACAAAATAAAACCAAACCAAACTATGGCTGTTTTTAATGCAGATTTCAAAGAGGAAGCCGATGACTTGAGAGTTGTTCTGGTGTCTTCGGACAAGGAGCTGAAAGATATCAAAGCTAAAAAGACAGACGAGGAAGACCAACTACAGAAAACAATTGGAATGCTACAGACTCGAGTAAGTCTGCCTTTCAGGTCTAAAAAAAAGTCAGAGCTAGACTTAAAAGAAGGGAGGAGAGTGTTGTAGTGTAAATATGCTAGCCAGGTAAAATCTTATAAGTGCTTAGCGATTTGTGGAAGGTGTGTAGGAAGTGTCATGCTGTGTCAGCTCCCTCTTGCTGTAGAGTGAACCCAAATTAGGGAGCAGAGGGTGGATGCTATATGCAAGAGAGGAGAACTATGTATACAAGGCTGTGAGAGACGACGGACTGAGGAGAAATTGTAACTCTGTACAGTTTGTAGACCTGCAAATAAATACCAAGTGAAACTTTGAAACTGACTTGTGGAATCACTCTCACAAGGGTTTCAGGTTTTCTTAATGAATAATAAGAATTTCAAATCTGCTATCCCAGATTTTGTCAATTTAGAATAGAATTAAAATGTTTTTCTGTTCTAGATCCTAATACAAGGAAAACATGATCTGTTAAACAAGATAAAATATCAATAGATATTGGCTTGATATTAACTTTTCTTAACCGAAAATCCAATTTGTGAAAAACTTTGGGTTGGGTAACTGAAGATTCTGAGATCTTTAACTTAAATGTATCAAACATATACCTAACAAGCTTATTAGGGCTCCATCATGAGAGATGCAGATGCCCTATAGTAATTTAATTGTTCTTCTGTCTCTCCATACATTTGTTTCTGGAGAGTATATCAAAATCTATACGTCTAAAATTTTAGAAATTTGATATGGTGATGCAATGTTATATGTAGATGTGCAATAGAGGTCACTTTTTCTAAAAATAGAACAGAAGTAGATATACTGTCAAAAAACCTTGCAATGTCCTTTATGACCCTCCAATGTTCATTTCAGTGGTAAATGGTATTTGATAGATATCGTATGTAAATAATGCGATCATTATTATAATACCAGATTCCGGAAATCCAAGATGGCTACCAGGCAAGGTCATTGCCCATCGCTTCTGATTGGATAACATATAAACTGCTATAACTTAAATTCAAACTTGGTGATAATGGGTTCTTTATGAATTGTCTACCTGGGCCGTTTTTGTTTAAATGGTCAAACCGGTTGGACCAAAACAAAAGTTGTTCGTTTATTAAATAAGGTTGGACCTAGTAATCCGATGCTGCTTTCAGGCGAGCCTTGACAAAGCCCTGCAAGGCCTACATAAACATTTGCAGGTCCGCCAGGATTTATACCTGAAATTGCTACAATTAAAAACGGACAAACAGGTTGTTCCGCATAAACGAACAGGACCCTGGTGAATAAGGACATATTTGCCAGATCCCGTAATTCCAGATGGCCACCTTTCAGTTTCAACTTCTGTTCTGTTTGTCTGACTTTATTCATGCTTGATGGTAAATGGTGATTGTTGGATTACATGAGTGTAACACCTCATTTACCGAAATTTTGAAAACCAAGATGTAATCACTTTGATTTCTGCTTTGTGATTATTGGAAATATATACCGTCTGAGACACAATGTGCCCTTTCTGACCGGTCATAGTTCTACTTACATGTAACCGTTTATATTACTTTATCAATTACATAATTATTGATATTTCTTTTTCATTTTTATATTTGTTCATATTTTTTTTTATAAACAACATGTTTATAAAAAAAAGATCTCATAAGGTACACGAAGAACATTTATTTACTGAAAGTTTTTTTTTCTCGTAGCTGATGCAGGTAGACATGGAGACGACAAAGATGTCCAAGGAATACGAAAGTGCCTGTGAAGAGCGTGACATATTGATGGTTAGTGGTCATTTCTCTTGTTAGTGTTTTACGTCCTATTAACAGCTATGGTCATTTAAGGACTTGCCATGTTTTGGTGGTGGAGGAAAACCGGAGTGCCCTGTTAAAACCCAACGACCTACGGTCAGTACCTGGCGACTGCCCAATGTAGGCTTCAAATCTGTGACCCAGTGGTGGAGGGCTAGTGATTGTAGACGATCAGACGCCTTAACCACTCGGCCACCACTGTCCCCTCTTAATCTTAATGTATGTATGGTAAATGATAAAAATCAGGCTAACCACGTCTGTCAGGAACTCCTCAAACTTGGCATAACATATATTCTGTAATGGGTGCTGCTCCCTCATTAAGTATGCGTTCCCCAGTAAATATCCCTTACAAATTTCTTCTATGAAAAGCATATGTTAACTGACCCCTTTCATTCTAGGCCTCCTTCACAGGTCACTGCTCTCTAGATATTTCTCCTCCAACTCTAGTTAATTGCTGTCGAATACCAGATATCCTATCTTTTTAATGTAACTGATATTCAATGGGTATGAGTAGTCTGTTAAGCATGAAATGCAGTGATCAAACTATTCTTTTCAAAAAAAGGGCCCCAAATAAGTTTTAAAAAAAATCATGTATAAAGAGACAGAAGAAAAATTCTAATGAAAACTGGATACACATTTTTGTGTATTTCAATACCAAAACGTGGTTAACACTAACACTGAAATGTGTCTCAAATGTTGGGAAGAATGTAGTATCTGATTATATCTTTTGTAGAATAGCTTTACAGTACTGAATGATGAAGTTCATATATATGCTGTTTGCCATAAACATCACTGAAAGTGACCTCCCCTTGTTTCACAATTTAGTCATGGGCACATTGCTACAATGAAACATTGAAGATTATGATATGGATTCATGATAGTTCTATAATGCGTTACATTTAACTTTATAGGTGATAGAAAGATCATTTCACTGAAATTATTTTTCTACTGTTCCATGTATTAAAATAAAATACATTGAATGATGATTTGTGTTTTAAACTCAACAGCAAGATTTAGAGAATGCACAGGACACAGTGAGATTCAACGAGAGTCTGGTGAGGGACCTGGAGACCGAGGTACAGGAGGGTAAGGAGAGGCTCGAGGACGTCCAGTCTCAGCTTGAGGTCAGTACACTGAAATTTGTTGCAGATTATTTAACCCTTTCACCACTACAGACCATAATGGATTCATCCAAATAAATGTATGGTAGAGTCTACTAAAGTTTCCTAGGGGTGAAAGGGTTATCTCTTGTAGGTTTGTTTGTTTTGGGTTCCATGTCTTTCAAGTCTGTGCAGCAGCAGCGGTTTTAATGATGAAAGTGTATTACCTGACTATGTTATCACAAACACTTCTAGCTGTCCTCAAACAAAATTAATTTCCAATACATACAATATAAAGAATCGAGCTCAGACACATCTTGAAGCGGACACTCGTTACAAGAATTTGCTGGCTTGTTTTTTGTGCACATCTATCATTAACAAATATATATTATTCGGTGTTTTTTTTTTATATCATCTGTTTCTTTTACAAATTCATGCAGTACCTGAGAAAGAATTTCTTCATGATTAAATAAATGATGGTTTAGTCACTGTATCATTGAAAGACTTCATTAAGGTTTTCATTATTAAAAGGCTGAAAGTGTCAGTCCTTATCAAAGATTTCTTAAACAATTTTCACACTGAAACATTGTGTTGCCAGCTCCTTGACTTGATTTTGAGATCAGCTGTTCGTTGGATTTAACTTTATTTTTTCGATTGTTACATTTTCAGACTGTGTCCAAGAGTTTAGCCATAGAGAAACACAACCATGACCAGCTGGTGTGTCGCACACAGTTGGAGGGGGCAGCTCAGGTAAGGAGTTTAATGTATTGTACCTGTGCAGTACATCCTTTATATATGCCTATCAAAGTTTTGGACTGGAAATATAGTATTGGGAGCGTCTGTCAGTCAGCACTTTGATTTTGGCAAGATAACTTGCTGAAATATTGCCTAGTTTTGATGACATTTGGTAAGCATGTGAATTTGAAGCTAAGGCTACGTTTGGAGATAAGCATAATCTGCACATAGTTCATAAGCACACTGCATGCTGATCAGTAATTTCAACACCTTAGTTAATAATAATAATTTGCGGTTCTTATATATCGCTTTATCACAACCTAGTTTGTAGGTCGTCTCAAAGCGGTTCACAAATTATTATCCGTGGTTATAGGGCCTTTGCAACCAGCCAATATCTTTTTCAACTCCCTGGAGAGCATACAGCCGGAACTGCCATCTCGGTGCTAACAGCTAGCATTCAACAATTCTAGCACTGCCCAACCACATACTCATTTACAGCTGAGTAGACTGGAACAAGTGGAGTAAAGTATCTTGCTCAAAGATACAACACAGTGCCATGCCGTGACTCAAGCACTTAAATATTATGAAAATTTCTTGTTACACAACCAATAAGTGTATTATGTGACGTTTCGATGACTGGTACTTAAATATTGTTTGATTTTGATGAAACATTGTATTAAGCACATCCAATATACAAAGACTGAGGCTAAGTTTGAAGTTGTGCAAAATCTGTTAAAAATTTATCAGCATTCTGACTGGTTGGCATTTTCCATGAAATAAGATATGACCAAATTCCAACAGATCTTGTTCAATATCTAAATTATACAATTACAAAAGCTAAGTTTGAAGTCGAACAAAAATCTGCTAATTATTAATATGCATATCATGCTAATCCCAAATATGACTTATTCTGATGAAACTTGGTTAATTATTGTTATACTAAGACAAAATCTGAAGTTCAAAGTTATGCAAAACCTGTGCATGGCATTCAGTTTGTAGTAATCGTTTTGTAGTAATAGTGGTATTTAGTGTAAAATTTCTTAATATCTGTTAATCAGGAAAAAGAAAACCTGCAGCTTGTTCAAGAGAATGAACTACTACAGTCGGAGGCGGAAGTGGCGAGAGTCAAGCTTGAACAGCAGGAAAAGACCATTCAGAATCTGAAGGGGAGCACAGAGGCTGCTCAACACATCATCTCAACGCTACAGAAACAGCAGGAGCAGAACAAGGTCAGGGCTCAGATATATACGATAAACCGTTGATTGATTGATGGGGCCTTGTGTCCTTGTAAGTCATTACTGAGCCTCAGACAAAAACATTAAAAAAATATATGATAGTTGTCAAAGAGGTGTGATATGAAAGCGAGACTAGGGTAGTTTTAGTTCTATTTCCACTCTTTTAGGGTTATGAATTTTTAACTGTCACATACGCATGAAGCCCTACACTAGCTAGTCTAAACCTATAACCTATACTATAAACCTACAGCCTACTCTTTATTGAAATCCAGCAGAGTGAACTTGAATGCATGAATACAATCTGCTTTATCCTCTTCAAACATGAAACAGAAATAGGGAGGATAAGGCATCTCAGGTGACAGTTATTGTGGTATTTGTTCTTGTTTAAGAATATATTATTTTAATGAAATAAGTCTGTTCTGACTCTCTAAGTATTTTTATGTACTGTGTTATTATAGGAAGCTGTGGCTGGGTACATGTCTCGGATAGAGGAGCTGAGAACTGCTCTCAACGTGGAAACCAACCAGCTGCTGGACCATAAACAGCAGTGTCAGAGTCTAACCAGGAAGCTAGAGGAGCAGGCCGCAGACCTGAACACCACAGAACAGGTCAACAAAGAGCTGCAGGCCAAGCTGGAGGCTCAGGTGGACTACCACAATGCCGAAGTGTGTAACAGTCTGCTGATCACAATATCAATAAATGTACTTGGGTGGTTGGGTGGTGAAGTGGATAGCGCACTTGCCTTTCACCAAGGCGGCCAGGGTTTGATTCCCCGATCGGACGTGAAAAGGTATGGGGTCACCTGTCTGACCACGTGGGTTTTCTCGGGGTACTCCGGTTTCCTCCCACAACAAGACCCCCCCCACGCGCTAACATCCGGGCCAACAAGAGCGATTAATATAAGTTGAAATAACTTGTTTCATAATTGTTGTAAAGTAAATAAGGTTTATATATAATAAATGTAGAGACTCATAGCTAGACTGACCAAATGTCCTTAACCCATTCTACCCTAAAGTCACATTGTAACCTTACCTTATCAAAGACTGGGCAAGTCTAGTTTAAAAATGTAGGTGTGAATGGGTTAAATGCTGCTGCTTTCATGGAAATATTCACCACACTTTCACCTTTTTTGCCCTCTGTAGTAAAGGCAGATTTATCATAACAACGAATGTTAGTAATCAACATGATATGCATAGTTATAAAATGTGAAGGGCAACATTAACACAGGGCAAAATGGATTTTACTGGCATGGTGTGAAACTTCGAAAATGAAAAGATTCTCGGTATACACTGCAGTAACTTAAAGTAGAAACTGGTTTTCTGCCCAAAGATAGGTGCTGGTAGAATCACCTTAAGGTAGACGCTCATGGCTATAGCTATAGGCTGACTAAATATTGAGGTTCATACCTTACTGAAGATATAATACCTAGGGTTCATTCGCGTATCCAGTTGAACCGGTTGAACCTGTAAAGAAAACGACAGGCACAGATCTGGACTGAGGCTGACCTCAGGAAAATTTGGTACGTGTAGATTGAGGGGTCCAGACGTACCTGACCAAAACTATTGGAAGACTATTGCCAGTTTGCGTTATTTCTTCCTAAAACAATGTCAAGTCACATGTAGTTTTAAAGATACATTATGTAATTCATTGGACAGATTAGAGAAGGTCATAATATTCTTGAAACACTGTTTTTTATTCTCCGAAATTGTGCATTTTTAGCCCTGCTTATAGAACGGTTCAATTCAAGTGCATTCTTTTATCATGGAAAATTTCTGCGCCACACGTACCACTTCAACTGGGATACACGAATGTTGCCCTACACTGTAACACTACCTGCTGACTGAAGCTAGAGGATCACAGGCTGCCGTATTAAATCTACTGGATTATAGGTTGATGTGAGCTAGAGGATCACAGGCTGGCGCAATCTACTGGATTATTGGTTGATGTGAGCTAGAGGATCACAGACTGGCGTAATTTACTGGATTATACGTTGATGTGAGCTAGAGGATCACAGGCTGACGTAATCTACTGGATTATTGGTTGATGTGAGCTAGAGGATCACAGACTGGCGTAATCTGCTGGATTATAGGTTGATGTGAGCTAGAGGATCCCAGGCTGGCGTAATCAACTGGGTTATAGGTTGATGTGAGCTAGAGGATCACAGGCTGGCGGAATCTACTGGATTATAGGTTGATGTGAGCTAAAGGATCACAGACTGGCGTAATCTACTGGATTATAGGTTGATGTGAGCTAGAGGATCCCAGGCTGGCGTAATCAACTGGATTATAGGTTGATGTGAGCTAGAGGATCACAGACTGGCGTAATCTACTGGATTATACGTTGATGTGAGCTAGAGGATCACAGGCTGACGTAATCTACTGGATTATTGGTTGATGTGAGCTAGAGGCTACGGTTACTAACAGTGAGGTGCTGATCAGAGGTGAATTGGACATAACTGTGAAGCATGTTATCTTGTAAAGGTTTAAGATATGATCAACTCTGTCAAAAAACCCATATTTAGATCAAATGTACTTGATGAGATACAGTAGTACAAGCTGTTTGTTGTTACAGATGAGCATGATGAAGGAGGACCTCGACTGTATTACTGAGGCAAACGACAAAATACAAGAAGAGTATGCAAGCACTCAGCGTGAATTAGAATCTACACAGGTAAATATCAATGTGTGCTCTCACACACAGTAGTGTCAATTGTATATCTAACATATTTACTGAAACGGATCATAATTTGTCTTCTTTCCCAAAAGAGTCCCTGTAAATCTGTACCAATACATTGTTATCCTTACAGGGGAGATGTGAATCACTGGAGGAAGCATTGAAGACAAAGACATCTCAGGTAATTGTATGACAATGATATCTCGGGGGAATTTATGGCTTAAGACACCTCAGAAAGGTATATGGTTAAGATATCTCCAATAAGCATATGACTTAAGACTTCTTAAGTAAGTGTCTGACAAATACATCTCAGGTAAGTGTATGACTTACAACACCTCGGGTATATACATCCCCATTAAGTGTATGACTTACAACATCTCAGGTAAGTGTATGACTTAAGACATCTTAGTTAAGTGTATGACTAGTGATTAGAACAACTGAATTTGAGACATTAAACCTGTGTTAAGAGACCACCCAATGGACGGCTCAGTAGTGGTCCCTTAACAGAGGTTATGATACAAATATATATCTTAACCTGCTTTATGGAGCTGAAATGATAATATTAATAATAGCTTAAAGAAGGCTTACTTATTTTGAAAATTTCAGGGTGATCATATATGCATGCTAGTATACCTATTACACCATATTTATCCTGCTATAAACCCATTGGGGGGGGG